GCCTTTCCGAGGAATTTATCGCTCATATTTAATTATGTGAAAGTCTCTGTACAAAGTCAATGTGAAATGCATCAAGAAAGTCATCGTGGAATCTGTTTTTTCGCATCAGCAACGCGTTCATCGGAAATCCAAATGGTCAGCAAAAATGTGGACAATCTTTATTTTTGCATACGCGTCTGTCCACGTTGAAGAAGAAGATCCTCGTTTATGCAGACAATCTTTATTCTTAGAACAGCGCCCCTACTGTTTATTCTAGATCTGTTGATTCTCAAAACTTTCAAAGATATTAAAAGTTAAACTATCCAGAATGCACTCAAAATCAGCACCTCAGTTAGGTCTAGTGACAATCGATGATAAAATAATCATACAAATGCAATAAATTTGGTTCAGAAATCTAGTATTGTCAATTCTGTCAATGAGATTTATTTCCAATCTAACAAATTCAGGGTACATTTTGCAATATCAATGAGTTTAATTTTACATTTGAATAATTTTTAGGTGTCATCAATTGTCACTAAGTAAGGTTTGGCAGATTTTGAGTGAATACTAAATTTCTATTGGGTTTTGCTCATTGATGTTTGATAGTCTGAGAATCAAAAGAGGTTTTCTAACTTTTCTTAAATGATTTTTTTATGACACACAGGCACAGCGTGGTATTACACTACGGTTTGTATTGCTGCTATTACTTATTACTATCTCTTTCACTTTGTCTTCCATGCGCAGTCTCCCATTCTCCAGGAACTGTTCTATTAACATTATTCAAAATGGGCATGAAATTCGGTAACCTGGCAAAGTTCAGAGGGGTCATCACTTACACCCTCTCTCCACATGAGCAGAGGCATTCGCAGGAGCCTTTAGCAGAGGTCTGCCCAACATCTTCAGGAGATTCAGATCAAAGGTCTTCATCGTCACACCACGTGAGTATTTTAAATACTGGGGGATTTCCATGAACTATATTATCATAAAAAGAATATGACATGAACAGATAACAACTAAATTATTTATAACCATTGTAAATTAAATGGGATTTTTTTTGGGGGGGTGTTACTGTTACTCAATGAAATGTTGATTTGTTGAATACTTATATAAGCTTTAATATGTCACATCTCTCAAGAAGCCTAAGTCAGGACTATTCAATTTTCTCACATACTTCAAAAATTACAAAACTTGGTAAGGGTATGAAATAATTTAGTTGTTAATTGTATGTGCTTGTCATCACGTGCAATGAGGTTTACGGTAATAAAAAAAAATTCTATAGTAAATTAGTTCTCAGCATATCAGATGCCCCACTGAGCAAATTATCGGCTGACAAGATTTTCAAATTTTCGGGAGCAAAAAAAAAATTAAAAATTAGTGCTCACTACCCCCCCCCCCCCCCCCCCCCCCCCCCCCCCCCCCCACTATACCTCAAGTGGAAAGGAAAAAGAAAAAAGTGTTGTCTGTTTAATTTTCATTTAAATCAGAGAAAAAGCAAAAGTGAATTAGCTGGAATTGTGGATTCAAAATTATTTTGATATACAAATGCAATTTAAGTGCAATAACATTCTGTACTAATGAAGGCATTCAAGTGCAATATCATTCTGTGCTAATGTAGGCATTCAGCAAGAGTAGTTTGTGCACACCTCGGCTAGGCAGGGCTATCTGGTCATGTATTCACCATGCAGGATGCCTGGAGTTCCCTGTATAGTGCATAGTTAATACATAAACATGATCAGCTGACCCTGCGTAGTTATTTTTGCGCATGAATATTCATGCAGAATGTCCCTAAAAAGTAATAGTACAACTTAAAATTCCAGTTGTGTGTGTGTATTAATATACCTTTCTTTCTTTTTATTTTCATGTGCAGCATTTGTTGTGGCATACCTGATCTACTCGTGGGGAAACGCAGAGAACGCCAAGTCAAAACGAAAGAACCTGGCCGATTATGAAAACGAATCATAGAATCCACCACTCCAAGTTTCAACATCCTACAGGATCCTCAAAGTCTCTCATCTTTATGTATCACCATGACTACGGGAAGCCGCTGCCTCCTCTACCAAAGTGTTCACTCTTAACGATGATGATTACGACGACTGGCCGCTTTTGCATTTAAATTGTAGAAGAGATTTTGAGGACTTTTTCAAATGATATATTATTGAAATGTGTTATCACTGTAAATAATAGTGACCTAAACAAGAACAGCAGCAAGTGGAGAAGAAGCAATATTTACACACAAAATAGAAAGGCTAAAATACTCATGGATTTCATTATCAGGCACAGATATGATGCTAAAATTGGCAGTGGTGTGTATTGTCTCTAATTTATCAATGTGATGGCCATGATCATCTATTGTTGAGTAGTGTTTTGGGCGGGGATGAGATTCGATGTGTCCATTTATCTCTTTCAAGATTTCAAGCTAGGTCATATCAGTATATATGTACATCTGCATACATGCAAATATATATGACAAAACACAGGCCCGATGTACATGTCTGTGTTTTGCCAGAAATAATAATAGGCAGATTTGCACCGTACTTGCAGTTGTTTGTAAATTATTCTGAGACTTATTAAATGTTTGTTCACATTTGAAAAGTTGATAATTGTGTGGTCTCTGTATCATATTGAATAGTACATTTTGTGGTATTTTGCAATGAGCACAGATTGCTATGGTGACTTATTTGTCTTAATGTGCTTTGTAAGTCATTAATGCACTAAGAAAGCAAAGAATCACATACAAGTCAAGTTAATGGCATGCTTCTTTCAATGTACACAGCTTAAACAGTTAGGGATAGGAGTAATTTACTATTTCACCACTTTCAATTTTTTTGAAACGAAAATAGTTTTGACCTAAAATAGTATCTTTATCTGAGTTACAAGCATAGAAGTGTCATTACAAAAGATAGTTGGGGAAATTAGAAAGACGGCTAAGGGGGAAAGGGGATGGAGAGAGAGAGAGAGAGAGGGGGGGGGGGGGGGAGCAAGAGAGAATGAAAATAAGAAGGAGAAGTGGGTAAGGAGAGATAGGAAAGAGAGAGAAAGAATGAGAAATACATTTGTACCTATATGAGAATACCATAAAAAAATGAGGTGACATAAAAGTGGAAAGGAAACAAGGAGTGAGAAAAAGACAAGAAGAAGAAAAGATGAAACACTCCATGATATAATAGACACATTAATTATTTATTGGATGGGTGGAAAATATGACAATACTCTAACTTTGAGATAATAATGCATGTGTTCAACATAATTATAGAGCTATTACATCAACTCTAATCATGTTGAAGTTCCCTCGATTTCACTGCCAAGCTGTCTTAGGAGTTGACCAATAATATCCAAAATCTTGCCCTTTTGTGATAATGTATTTTTTTATTTATTTTGCTCTTTTAAATTGTGGGGATAAACAAAGCTCAACGTCATTGCAAGATATAATGAAGCTATGAAGTCAAGCTATCAAATCCTCTGGTGTGGGCAGTTATGATTAATTTTAGTTTCACCCCCCCCCCCCCCTCAAGGAATTTTTAAAAATTTCTCTTCCCATAAATTTGCCATTTTTAAGTATGGGCACGATATATTATATGTTTTAATTCTTGCAAGTGACGTCCAGACACAGTAATCAATATTGTTTTAAAGTTATTAAATGGGGAATTTATTTTACAAAATATATGTACTGATTATGGAATGATTACATACGAGCTATCATGGCGGACAAATTGTATTTTTAAAGATTTTACAGATTTAAATTCACAAAGCATACGGTGATCGTAACAAAGATCGTGGCGTCTGTTCATATTCCGACGTTTTGTATAACCTTCATAGTCACGGCACCCTTTTTTTGAAAGGAATTCAAAGTTTCGCGTCACCAACCTGAGGGCGGGGGGGGGGGTATAATCAGATTTGGTTTGGACGGGGGTGAGCGGCTGAAGCGTCACCCATACCCATTTTAAGGTTTTGCCATATTCCATTTTCATGAATGATTTATATTATCACATCCCCGTATATCATAATAGGCGACCCCCCCCCCCCCCCTCTTCCCCGCTGGGCACCCCAATCCCATCACAGAAGATACATTTTGCATCACTCTGGCACTTAATTATCAATATACCAGTGGCTACATTTATTTGTAAATTTTGCGAGCTCCGGCCTTTACTATAAAATATATAGGCCTATATTTTATATGTTATATGTTATTAAAACACTAGATAATATGTAAGATATTATAAACCATGTATGCGGGCATCGATCTTGCTGAATATATAATACATAAATTAAAAACAATATCACTCACTTTAATTCACAAATATGAAGGAATTCGGGCATCTCATTGCCCATACTTATCCCGTTCCTAAATGTTGCGAGGGAGTGAAACGAGTGAGGGTGGTTTAACTACGTAATTTCGATATTAAAAAATAAATATATCCGGGCACCTTAGTTGCTGCCTGAATATGACAACATTCTGGCACCTCACTCTCGATTAAAAGAATTGAGTTTGAGTTTATTGGTTTCACATTTCACATGCAGATACAATACAGATATCAAAATATACATAACAGACCTCGTTTCATAATTTGTTAACAAGTATAGTAATTGACAAATTAATCAGACTTGAAAGTTATATATATATATCATCATATTCTGGTACCTCAAAAATAATATTAAGTTATTCAGGCATTTCCTTGTCTGAAATCATTGTGTTTTTTATATAACGAGCAACCGAAGGGAGCGAGGAAAAGAGACTATCTATTATCTTTAAAATATTAATATCTCCTCATGAAACTCCATGTTCTTCATAAATTTAAGTAAACACTCCAAAAAATGATTGATATAAATTTCTCTCGGGACACACCTAGATATGTCTTGCAGCACCCCGGGTAGAAAATACGCTGCCTTATTCGCTTCACCCAGTTATGAATGCATTCAATTTAAAATTCGTTTTAATTCGTTTTAATTCGTTCCAAAAAATAAATCCGTCCAGCCCGCGAGGTCAGGGGCGCTCAACGAATCTGCGTTGTGATCGTGAGCGTTGAAAAATTGCCACGAAATAGACTGCCACCTTCAACAGAAAGCGAAGACGGCGAGGCGACGATTCTGATTTCGATTTGGACTAGAAAACACGAACATTGTTTGATTTCAAAATAAACTTTTACGATGGAGGTAAGATTTCATGAATTTTCTTTCATATTAGAATAGTTTAAAAATGTTTGACGACTATTGAGAATGATAAACGGTCGATAAAATTAAGCGTTTTTATTATTCAGTCCCACACATTGCTTCACATGTATTTTGTTTGAACTTTGAAGTTTAGGTGGAGTCTATGAATGTTGATCTATTACACTTATCCTGTTCATATTTGTATGAATTGTATCATTAGAAGTTTTGTATCAGAAGTGAAAGCAATTTGTTAAATATGGTATGTATGGTACATAGACTATGCTTGTTCTTGAGTGTCTGCATAAATAGTTCTGACTTCGGTCTGTGTCTGTCTAGGTCCCTAATGACCGCATGAGGGCGATATTGCAAAATCACCCTCTGGCTGCATTGGACTCTTTGTCACCAGCGAACATGCTTTTGTGCAGTGTGTGCCAATACGAGGGGCGGATGAATTTCACTTTCTTTATTTGTGATTCACCTCTCATGAATATTTATAAGCACTTACCTTATTTGGAAAACTTTACAAAGCTTCTGACATCAGAATCACCGTCAACCCGATCTGTCTTTGTCTTCAAAATCACCTTTGAGCTCAGTAGTAAGAGCAATTTTGACCGTGTATGAGCGATTATTTGTGCTGTTTTTACGAAATGAACTATGAGACCGGTAGGGACCACCTTAAAGTGTGGTATTATCGGAAAGCTTATGTAATTTGTGATTGAATGTTGACAACTCCAGAGGCCCACAAGCTTTCAGCGATAGAACATACCAGTGCTAATGATACCCTTCCCGCCCCGGCCGGGTTCAATTTTGAGAGATTTCGCGTACGGAAGTGGGCAATTAGTGGCAGTGCCATTTTTGGCAAAAAAAAAATCTCTTTATTAATTAAATTTGTGATTTAGGGTAAGTTCTCAGTGAATTTGCTTTGCATATATGATGTATAAGATAAATCAGTATACATCTATCGCCATTACGGGAATTTTAATTGGAATTTTATTTTTCATAATTATGACTAAAAGGAGCCCGTTTTCGGCCACTTAAGACAAAATCCCTTTTTTAGGACCCTTTACTTCCTATTTATTATCATTTTTTGTTCAAATCATGAAGCAAATATTATTATTATTTAAACAAAAAAAGAATCCCAGAAAAAAATCACGAATTGCCATGACAATATTCATTTCAATTTTCACTGTTTTGGAGCCAGTTATCGGCCGAGCGTTTCAGTTTACGGCCGCATGTACAAAGTCAATACAAAGCGCTCGCGCGCGCCGTGCGTTTCTGCGCTGATGTACAGCACAAGCGGGCGGAGCAGGTATCCCACGCCGGAGCTCCCGAGTGCTCGCCTGGCCGAAGACAGGCACAGCGGTGATCGGAAGTTGGAATCTGAATTAGACAGAGATATCGTGTGTGCGTTGCGGTGTGCGGCTGCATTGATTTAATACATGCGATGAGATACTTTTGAGCTTGCGACTAGCACAAAATCGGGCTCTAAATCTGAAAAATACTTGAAATAAAGCTCATTTTATGGTACCCATATTTCTTACAGACACGCGTAAAATACTCGATTTTTCAGATTCGGGTAGCGGGACCGCCGATTACATCGCTAAAATGTGATATTTTAGGATATATTTTTCATTGCAAATGTGGTTCTTCAGTGACACTGGCATGGTATGGTATGTGTGGGATATGTGTTATGCTATTATGCGATGTATTTCAGAGTGATTTTACCTTGTATCCAACCAATCGGCCGAAAACGGGAGCTGGCCGATTACCGGCTCCTTTACTCTATGTCTCGCTCTCACTCTCTAACGCCTATTCTTATTGGCTATTGTGGCTGCCATATTCACTCAATTTTTTGGTGCAAAGAGAAAGCTTGCGATTTTGAAAGAAGATTTCAAAAAAGACGTCCATGCAAGTTATAAACTTTGCTAAACAGCTGCATCGCGCAATGTGCAAGCGTATGCGTGTTGCCGTTTTTTTTAAAGGTTTCTACTAGTCTAGATCTACATGTACATTCAGTAGACATGCACAAAGCAGACTTGTGCTGTTTGTAAAACTGCAGTAGGAGTCTTGGATCTTGGATTCTTTTCCTCCTAAATACTCCGAAGAAGAGTTTTGACTGGAGGTGGTGGAGGGTGGACGATTACATTTTGAAAAAAAAGTTCTTTAGTAACTGCATTTTTAAATGAGAGCGGGGAGGTTTGGAAATATGAGTTGGCATAGACGTCCGAGTTGGTGTGGCAAATTTCAAATTGGTTGGAGTGTCCTCGTCTACGTCTGTCTGGCTTAGGGTTGGTGTAAGATTGGTAGTAGATGTCGAGTTGTCCCTTGATCATTTTGAAGAGGCAGGTAAGACGGTGTGCTTCCCTTCTGTCTTTAAGAGATCCCCAGTTGAGTTGGTTGGTTGAGTAGCTTGGTAACACTGGTGTCCCATAGTCTAATAGTCTACTACTATAACAGAATGCTTGTTCATTAAGAATTTAAATTTTGATTATGGTAGGTATTTAACTATTAGATGAGTAAAACTAATTATCCTTTAACTTACAGGAAGTCAGCAAGCACTCTGTCCACACGCTGGTGTTCAGATCACTCAAGAGGTCACATGACATGTTCATTGCTGATAACGCCCATCCTCCAAATAGGGATGCTGAAGCGTAAGTATTGAACCTCATTTGAGATAATGGTAGATTTATTTTCCTTGGAATTGAGCAAATGGGTTTTATCTCCAGCTGCATTTACAACAGCATTCAATAGGTTCTTCTTCTTCTTCTTCCAAGAAAGTGCTGCTTCAAGGCCTTGAATATTGCGCACTGTGTGGGTTAAGAGTTGGGTTGAGGTCTTGAGGAATGTTGGTAGAAGCAGGGGTTGTAATATGATTGCAGGGCAAACATGTTTTTCACTTTCTGTGATATTCTTTATTTTTGTTTTCCTTCTAAATTTCTACAATATAGATGAAGAAATTTTTTTTTTCTCAGAAGAAGAGTATGTTACCAATTATTCTCACTGTCTTTCTCTGCTTATTTATGTCTTTCACTCTCTCTTTCTCTCATTCTTTCTCTCTCTCTCTCTCTGTTTTTGTTTCTCTCTCTCTCTCTCTCCTTCCCCCTCTCTTTTCTCCCCTTCCTTTTCCCCCCTTCCTTTTCCCCCTTTTTTCTCCCCCTACATCTTCTCCCCCTCTCTCTTCTCCCCTCTCTCTTCTCCACTCTCCCCTCTCCCATCTTCCCTCTTCCCTCTCTCTGCTCCCCCTCTATCTTCTCCCCTCTCTTCTCCCCTCTATCTTTTCCCCTCTCCATCTCTCGTACAGTCAAAATAAACATTATGTCATATATTTATTGTATTTATTGGATGTGATATATTCTCTTTAACATGTGACCAACAGAGATAAGGTTAAGATTGCCTGCAAAGTGAAAGACCAGTATGGGATGGTACAGAACCTGACAGCTACCACAGGACACCAGAGAACAGCTGACGACTTACATCAAGAAACAAGGGAAGAGAGCCAGGGGTATGAACAAGGTAAAGCAAGGGGTGGCAAGCTAGTGCCATATAATTCGGGGCACATTCACACTTTTTTTTAATGTAATGATGTCAGTGCAATACCTTTCACATTTCTTTATCTTATCATATACCTTTCACGTTTCTCTTTCTTATTAATTATACATACGTAAAACCTTGTTATGCACATCTACTCGCTTCATCCCTGTTGTAAACCACTGCGAATGCCAGTGCTGTGTGTGAATATGCCGCTAGAGGTTGTGGTAAAATGTCTGATGTTCTTATGTATGTTATAAAATGCTAGCTGTACTGATGTGTAAATAACCCTTTATTCTGCTAGTGCCAATGCTGCATTATAGGTTTGTAGTTCAGTATACAAGCCATGTTCTTTATATTTTGTGAACCTGTTTTGAATTTTGCTTTGTCTAAATACAAATTGGAAGGTTTTCACCATTTACAGCAGTAAAAAGGGTTAACTGCTTTGGAGTGAGCACAGTTTGCTTGCATTTGATAAGTAAGTACCATAGGTGTTGACTATATTCCGGCCTGACGTCTACCTGAAAAAGCTAAAGTTTAACTTTGTTTATTGATTTAGGATATGAGGAGATTCCAGCCCACATCCAACCAGGACATCCATACCCAAATGCACCAGGTAAGATGTATTTTCTTTAAAAAGATTTTTAAAAAGAAATCTATTTTCTGCACTTTCTGAGAGATGTACATGGTTCTCGACATCTTTCCCTGTGAATAGAGGGTGGTCCATAAACAGTTTTAACGTTGCACAGTAGTTGTCAGTCGCCAAGAGTCGACTTCACTCTTACGACAGACAGGTCTTGTGTAGTGCACTGGGCCCTACCCACCACCTTATGGAATTCTCATGATCTAGATCAAATTTCCCTCACCCTCGAGATATAGGCAAGTTGGAGTATTTCCTGGTAGAACCACTGGTTCGCTGCTTCAAATACCTTTGCATGCACAGACACATTCATTGGTACTTCATCCAAATCCAGTGCTAGCAAATTACGATACAATACACATATACTCTCAACTGCTATGTGGCTGTAACGTTTACTAATGAAAGTGGTTGGGGGCTTCATCCTTGATGTATATCGGTTACCTTTACACATTCAAATTTATGTTCGCCTACCACCCTGGAAGACTAGAGAAATTAAAGTAAATCAGTAATGGAGTTGCATACTTAGTATTTTTGCCATCATTTTACATGGCATGAATTTAAGATGTCAGTGCTAGGTGGAGAATATTCCCCCCCCCCCCACAAGGAAAAGAACAAGTTTGCTCTGTATTTCTTGCTTCTGCTTACACATGTAATAACACATTGGATGTTTATTTGTGGGGTTCATCAGTCTGTATTATCCTATTTTGACAAATTCATTTAATTGTGAATACCTCATGGATGGATAATTTACTTAATTTGTAATTCACAGATAAGGTTTCATTTTTGTTAATATATGTAAACGGTTGTAATTTCCAATCTAAGACAAAAGTATTTTAAATTAGAAATACAAATTGTCAGGCATTAATAATTTGGAGCTCATACTTTACCTATTGATATTCTTACTTGTAAGGAGTACCACTGTCTGAACACACTGCAAGACAACCAGGTCTTAGTCAAGGAGGTGTTCAGCAGGTGTTGAGAGGGCTTCCACCTTCAGAAGCTCAGTAAGTTATCTCTCTTCACTTTGGATTGTCTCTCTTATTCTTTCAGTCTCACTATTTTTTTCTTCTCCACCTTCATCTCCCTCCTTTCCATTTCTTCCTTTCCATTCCTTCCCTTCCCTCCTACCCCTCCTTCCTTCCTTCCTTCCTTCCTTCCTTCCCTCCCTCTCCTGTCCTCATTTCCTTCCCCTTATCTCTTGCCCTCTTCTTCTCCGTTCTTCTCCCTCTCACTTTCCCTTCCCATCCTCATGTACATGTAAGGTAAATATGAAGGGTTGTATATTCTGAAGTTTCCAAACCATCTGATCAAACTAGAACAAAATTACAAATATTGCTGGAAATCACTCTACATTCATATGGCCATTCAGGACTACTTAAAGTTTCATGATATAGATTTATATTTGTAATCTGAAAATATTCAAAATTCACCCCTTTTAGTGCAATTATATGTTGTGGGGGATTCTTTTCCTTCTCATATCAGGCCTGATAAAAACCCGATTTAAATCGGTTTCCCGATTTTTTTTTTGGATTTTTCCTGATTTTTTTACAATTTTTTTTTTCTTCCCTATTTTATCCTGATTTTCCCGATTTCCCTCTTATTTTCTGTATTCTTCCCTATTATGCCCTATTTTTTTCCTAATTTTGTCCCAATTTTCTTACTCGAATGGGGGAATGTTGTTAGATGCCATTTTTTCCCCGCAAATCCCCCTTTTTTTTGTTACTCAAGGGGGGCGTGGTTGAGGGGAAAACAAAAAACCTATTTTTTTTTAGTGCTCACTATCACCCCTGTCATATGCATATACATGTAACAACAATGAAAGATAAAAGATAAGCTTGTTTTGTTATTGTTATTATTTCTCAATTTTAAAATATTTTTTGGGGTCTGGAAGAGAGGGGGAGGGGGGATACACCAAGTCCAATACTCAACCCTTATTTTCTTTTTACCCTCTAGGCTTCAGGCTTCAAGAACAGCTCCTGGAATTGAAGATATTCAGAGGAAAGCTGGCATTCCAGAGAGAATACAACCCCCAGGATCAAGGGTAAGACACATGTCTATCCGCTAGAAATATTCTATCTATATTTAGGAAGAAGCAACAGATTGCATGTATAATTTGCTTACTTCTGCAAAGGAATTTGTACCCAAAGTTGCTGTGAGTCAAATCTGTATAACAAAAATAATTAAAAAAAATAAAATGATGTATAGATTGATTTTGTTGATGAAATTTCCCACTTCTGTCATTAATCTTGTGAATTAAAAATAGATGGATTTTTTAGTTACTTCTCATCGTGATGTGTTTGAGGTGATTAGTTTATTTGTTAAGATGGTTATAATTTATAAGACATTGCTCTTGATTTCCATCACTCCTTTAATTCAATTTACAATCCCAAATAGGCCTTGGTAGCTGTTTCCTCTGGCACCAAGAACTCAGCCATTGTTCCTAGGAAAGCTCCCACAATGCCTAAACCAAAGTGGCATCCCCCGTGGAAGCTGTACCGCGTGATCAGCGGCCATCTGGGATGGGTTAGAAGCATAGCTGTGGAACCAGGCAATCAGTGGTTTGTCACAGGGGCAGGCGACAGGGTCATTAAGATCTGGGATTTGGTAAGTTTGGCAAGCTGTTAAGTATCTCACTTCTCTCATTTATTCTGTTCCTTCCGTGTATCTGTATCTCTCTCCCTCTCTCTCTCTCGCGCACTTGCGCACTCTATGCCTGTCTTCCTCCTTCTCTTTTCTCTTTTCTCTCACTATCTCTGTTTCCCTCCCCCCTCTCTCTCTCTCTCTCACACACACATACAGAGTACACATACACACACTCTGTCTATTTGTCTTCTTCTTTCTCCATCCCCCCCCCCCCCCCTTTCTCTTCCTTCAAAATTTTCTTTAGCATGTGTATTTGCTTTCCGTCTTTATTCTCTGTGGCTGTACATTGTACTTTCTTAAGCTTTAGTAAGAGTGATTGATTTTGATAAGTGACAAGTAAAAATTGCATTACTATTTGTGGTAGGGTACATGTATATCAAAATGGCTAACTTTGAATCATTACACGACCTTTCCTAAAACAAAAGCGGGAGGTCACGTGATTTTTCGTAGATTTGCTGTAGGATCTCACAAAGTGTTGGGTAAAATAGGATCAGCCCATTTGTAGATGGGAGGGGTTTATTTCACAAACATTACCCCCGACATTTCGTGAATAAAGGGGCATGTTTTCACAAAATGTTAGCTCAGCCACAGCCAGGGTAATGATATGATTGCAGGGCCCTCAGGGGGAAGAGTATGAATACTGATGAGGCTACCCTGGGTAAACAAGACATATTATTATTATTATTGTTATCACAAATTTATATTGTTTCTTCCATTTTTGTTGTTAATGAATATCAGAAATATATTATTGAAAATATGTCTTCTATTAACTCGACAGTTCAACAAATATTTGTATCTTGAGTAGTCAATTTTATTCTTTTAATGAATATGAATTACCTTGAATATATGTTTGTTAATTTGTTGCAAATGAAAATCAATAAAATTCCTGTGAAGGGAAATAGTATTTTTTTTAAAGAAAAAAAAAGATGAAATAACAATTACAAAAAATTAAAATAATAATAATAATTTATTATCACACATGTGACAATTCTCTTTCCCCCGTCCCTGTCCATTTGCAGGCTAGTGGTCAGCTGAAGCTATCCTTGACCGGTCACGTGAGTGCTGTCCGTGGTCTGGCAGTGAGCCCTCGTCAGCCCTACCTCTTCTCCTGTGGAGAGGATAAGATGGTCAAATGTTGGGACCTGGAAATGAACAAGGTACTGTAACATATTTGATTATTCTATATTCGTAAACATTCACCTTGATATACATGTATTTCAATGTTTTTCACATGCTCTTTTTTAACTATTTACTTGGCATTATTGTATGTGTATTTTGAATGCTTTTATTTTTACATATTATATTGCATTCTTTTGTGTTTGTTTTTAGGGGCCCCTTTTTGCGGCGGTTTACCGCGCCACATTTTAATGAGCTTTTATGAAGGGAACAACTCCCATGATAAGTTCTGATTCCTCTCTTTTTATCATATAGGTCATAAGACATTACCATGGTCATCTCAGCGCCTGCTACGCCCTTGACCTCCATCCGACCATTGACATCCTGGCTACGTGTGGACGAGACGCCACCATCAGGATATGGGACATGCGGTCAAAGGCTTGCGTCCACACACTGACCGGTCACACCAATACAGTAGCATCGGTCAAGTGCCAGAGTGCTGAACCTCAGGTAAAGAGTTATTGTAAATTACAACATTGATTTTGATTTTGATTTTGATTTTTTTTTTTTTTTTTTTTTTTTTTTTTTAATGGATGGATTTTATAGATGTAGAATGGGGCATGTAACTAGTTCAATCTCAAAGGGGATAGGGCATGTGACTTGAATTTGAGCTAAAATTTTTACATGCATTTATATCATCAAAAGTATAATGTGAGGGTTGAAATTATGTTCCGGGTTAGGTTTTCGATTTAGGGTTGGGTCCAGGTTAGAACTTCAGAATCTGGTTCGTCTAGGAACAAATTACATAGCAGGTGTGGCCAGAGCAAATCAGAATTTCAATGAGACGGTCTTTAATTCCAGATTTGGGGGAAGCCCACTTTGGACCATCAGGTGGGTACAAGACCCTTCCCCCCAAAACAAAATATTAACAAAATATTTAAAACATAGGGAGAGAGAGATTTTGACAGTGTGTTGGGCTTCTTTCATTATAAAATTTTTACGGAGTCAGGACATTGACCCATATGATTAAACACAGTATCAATGCCCTTCTTACTCCAAACAGACAATATGTAACTTTGTATTAATTTGATACAGTTATCAACGTAAATAACTGTATTACTTTAATTTATCAAAAGTTCAATAGGAATTGTGACTTTAGGATGTTTCGTGCCCTTGAAACGGTAATAATAATAATAATAAAAATGTTGCTTATAAAGCGCTTAGCACCGAAGTCTCTAAGCGCTATGACAAACAAAATAGACTGATAAACAATTACATATTAAAAAAAAACAAAAAAGTGCAAATAAACCTACAAATTACAATACATACATATGGTAATACTACAATGATTGTAAATTTGTAATCATCGAAAGTGATACTGAGTCGTATAACCTCTTTCATGTTTGTTGTAAACCAGATTGTAAGTGGCAGCCATGACTCTACCATCAGACTGTGGGACCTGGCAGCGGGCAAGTCCAGAGCAACCCTCACCAACCACAAGAAGAGTGTCAGATCTGTTGTTCTACATCCGAAACTGTGAGGACATGTAATAGTTTCAATTTTTGTGTTGTGAAGATAGCTCCCTGAACTGAAATATTTTCAATGTATTTTTTAAATGGGTAGATACATCTATGTTGTGCTATGTACAGGAAGATAAAACTGATTTTATCGTACATAAAGGTGGCTGTGGAAACTGACTGAGTCAGAGTAGACCAAGAGAAGCTAAACTCCAAAAACAAGTTGCTTTCAGTTAAAGGAGTAGTAAAACAGCAGACTCATTTATAAAATAATGACTTTTTATTTGTCTTTTCAATTTATTTTTACATCTCCAATACTCATAGTTTTCTGTGAAGCTTGGATAAATGTCACATGTATCTTCATGAAGGCTTTCAAATTAAGAGGAAAATGAAGATGAAAAAATCTTGTTCTTTTGAAAAGTTTTGAAAAGTGTGTTTGTTGGGTAGGGGGCATCGTGACCATAGACCTCATCTGTAATGGTTTCATGATAACTAGTATGTGCTTTTGATATTATTATTATTATTTATTTGGCATTTCAAACATACAATAGAAGGTACAATAGAATGGCACATAGGATACAAAGTATGAAAGAATGAAATTGGCTTACCCTGCTGCACCTCTCGAAGTTGCCTGGAAGAAAAAAAGGAATGTGAAATTCCTATAACCTGTTAGTCTTTTCTTCCGACTCCACGAAATGCAGCAGGGGATGCCTGAAATATTATACATAATTAGATTACAAATGGACTAAAACAAGGAGTTAAAGCTTATCTGTACTAGTTTATAGGAGGGATTAGACCACCCTGCAAGGTCACTGGACATGTGATTATCTCATCAACTCAACTCTCAATTAACATAAGAGAAAGAGGATCATGGGGGACCAACACGCACCGATTAGGCATTGTTATCTATATAGAAGGAGCAAGTAGCTACAAGTAGGACAGAGTGGCTTTAAAGAGTTGACGTTGGGCTTTCATACCTCAAATATAAAAACTATGGGCATCCCTCGGAATCTCAGAAAAGACGTTATTAAAGGTTGTTGATATTCTGTTCTCCTATCCAAGGTACATGATGGCGTCGGCATCTCCAGATAACCTCAAGCAGTGGAAGTTCCCTGAAGGAAACTTCATGCAGAACCTAGGAGGCCACAACGCCATCGTCAATTGCTTGGCTGTCAACTCGGATAATGTTCTTGTGTCGGGAGGTAGGTTGATCATGCTAGCTTCATAACAACCCCAGTGACATTTTTATATGAATTATGTTTCTAAGTGCTTTACATTGTAATACGGATTCAGTGCAATTCAATTCAAATAAGGATTTATTCAAGATGTGTCAAAAAGTCCAAAGACTAAAAATGCAAGTTAACATGAAACATACAATCATATAATACAGCATTCAAAAATATATGTATATACATATATATATATATAAAGAAAAACATAGCAAATGGGAAAAAGATATCAAAATAAATAAATGTTTACATCAAAACATCAAAGCAGTAACATAAAAACAAAACAAACAAAAAAGATACAAAACAAATACAAAATATAAAATATTGCTAGTTTGTCAGATGAGTGTACTGAAATAAAGGAATTCAAAATAGATTGAGAAAACAAAAAAGAAATTAAGGCCTTCTGTTTTGTTACTGAGAGAATAATTGTCATAGAAAAATAAAATGTATACAGATGTATACAGATACAGATACATGACAGATTCAATTGCTATTTCAAACGTGATAATGCACATCCTCCTCTTCACAGGAAAAATTCCTACGGTACTTCTCTTTCTGTCTTTTCTTTTTCTGGTCCTTTTCCCCTCTCTTTCTGTCTCTCTCTTTCTTTCTTTTTGTTTATTTTCTTTATATATTTATCCATTTGGTGGCTATTTGCTATTGTTTACAATTGCCCAAATATGTACCAAAAGAGAAAGAAAAAAAACGCATTCTAATAATTTGCATTCCTTTTTTTGTACACACCTACAGGAGACAACGGTTCACTTCATTTCTGGGATTGGCGGTCGGGCTTTAACTTCCAGCGGACCCAGGCCCCGGCCCAGCCCGGGTCGCTCGACAGCGATGCAGGAATCTTTGCCATGACCTTTGACCACAGCGGCAGTCGGCTGCTGACCGCAGAGGGCGATAAGACCATCAAGATCTACAAGGAAGACGATGAAGCGGTGAGTGTGCGGAAGTGCATGTTACAGAGTTTAAAGCCTGTCTGCACTACTTGCGCCCTCTATGTAGCCAACAATGCCTAAGTGGTGACGGTTGATCCCCATGGTCCCCTTTTCCTTATGTTGATTGAGAGCTGATTTGATGAGATAACCACCTGCCAGTGACCAGCAGGGAGGTCTAATCCCTCCTGGCCGAACTAGTGCAGACATGCTTTAAAAGAAATTGAAAAAACAAAATTGAAAAATTGGCGTTCCCATGCAATAATCTATTACCCATTCACCCGACTAGACTGCATACAAAGCATTAGGGACTGTTTTCTTTTCCACCTCCATAGACTTTGCGCTTGAATGTGCTCATACTCACTAAATGTGGTGTTCTAAATTGCAGAATGGCCCAAATTTCCACTGCTCTTATCCCATTTTTTCTGTGAATTCCAGTGATGTTAGACTAGTCATGAGACTATCAGTAGCACATCAGTAGCAATCTTAAAGCCCCACTGCACTACTTATAGCCGCTTACGCCCTCTATATAGCAAACAATGCCTAAGCGGTGACCGTTGGTCCCCCATGGTCCCCATTTTCTTATGTTAATTGAGAGCTGATTTGATGAGATAACCACCTGTTAGTGACCGTGCAGGGAGGTCTAATCCCTCCTGTCTAAACTAGTGCAGATAGGCTTTAAAAGTTAGACTCTGAGACACAACCCTAAGGGGCAATATAAATATAGTCCCTCCACATAATTGCAACGTTCTGGGACTCACCTTCAAAAATGCATTAAATATATTACACACTTTCTCAAACACTAACATTTGTTCCTATTGGTCAACAATATCCCGCTATAGGGGATCAGGACCAGGAACAGAACAGATTCTAAATCAAATTGATAAGGCCTAGAACACCCATCAAGTTTTACTTTTATACTCTTCATAACTATTGGGAACTTCAAGCTAAATATTCACATGTTAAGATTTTCTCATCTCACGATATTGCCATTTTCAACAAAATAGCGCTGCATTCAGATTGTAGTCAGACATTGTAGAGTTGACAAATCAAAATTTGGACAGAGAAGAGTAATTACTACAATCTCATTCACATTTATGCAGAATAATTCAGAGCTTCAACTTTTACAGAGATTGTAGTATTCCCTACGTAATGCACAATTTAAATTAAAAATATTATTGTTTTTATTTTTATAATCCAGTGCCAAAATTATAGAAAATGTAGCATGGTATGTGCTGTATTTAGCGACAATCCCTCCTCTCTTTCATATTGTTAACCAAGATCCCAAGTGTATTCTCAGTCACCTTGCTACCTGTAAACACTATTGTCAGATTTTACATCGAATAGATTTGAGAGTTTAATATTTGTCTAATAAAATATTTAATTTTTTTCTCTCTTTTTTTTTTTTTTTTAGACGGAAGAGACTCATCCTCTAAACTGGAAGCCCGAGATCCTGAAAAAGAAGAAGTATTAAAAGAAAGATGGCTGGCATGTATTCCCTGGAGTCATGATTGCTGTTACAGGGCCCTGATTCATAAAACTTAATATCAATGACTAGATACAAGCTACTGTTATAAGCTACTGAAATCATGGCATCTGATTGGCTGAGAGCACATTTGTCATAGAAACTTAGCCGTTATAGATAACAAGTTTTATGAAGTGGGCCCCAGATGCCTTGCTCAACTAAACCTGGATACAATGGCCACCTCTTCAGGAAATTCATCTGCTACAGAGACTTTTGGTTGGGGCAACTGTAACATGTAGTTTATTCTTCTACCAACCTTATAATTTAGTGCCCGGTATGCAAGCTTTCTTCTCCTCTTAGCAACTTTCTCAAGCCAAGCGATTCTTCACGCAGGAAGGTCATCTGCTACAAAGACTTTTGGTTGGGGATAATCACAACATGTAGTTTATTCTTTTACCAGCCTTATAATTTAGTGCCTGGTACGCAAGCTTTCGTCTACTAACAACTTTCTCGGGCCAAGCGATCCTTTACACAGTTTCTTGTTGTCTGCTGTCTCGAGATCTCTGGAGCGAAAACAGGTGATAGTGAAAAGCCAGAGCCCCCATTCAGTTAACGAGTAATCAATTTATTCCAGATCGATTTTTCTTTAATCACCTTTCTAGGAAAGAGGCGTGTTTCAAAGTCAATTGTATGTCCAGTTTTAAAGGCATCGTTTAACAGTGTTAAATCTGAGATGCATGGACCTGCATGTTATCAGTGTCTGTGATATGGTGTAATATTTAAGCAAGCCCTACAAAAGTTGCGCATCAAAATGATCACAAAGTGCCACAAAAAAGTAAATTTCTTTGAGAGACCGGTTTAGCATATTCACTTTCCCCAATAGACTGTAGTGTTATAAAAACCGTTAAAAATATTTTTTGAAATTTCGATTTCCAACCATATATATCTTAATAATCAGATGGGCGATTGGCTTGTAAACGTCATGGGGTTCCTGACTGATCTAAAGGTTTATAATTATGATTGCAGCATGAGCTAAATCCAGGATCTTGTTTCAGAATCTGAGACAACTTTACCCAAAGGGAGTGATCTATCGCTTATCAGTCTATCATGTATAGTGGCATACCCAGCGGTTTGTTCAGAATGTCGTGGATACATTTTCAGGAGAAAAAATGATTTGTGAACGATCCAGAGCATTGTATTGGGGCTGCCAAAGTACATTCCACCCCTCCCCTGTAAGACTCTCCTCCCCACCCCTATCTTTCCTTGTTTAATCATTTGTGGATATACCATGTTATATGTCCATTTTTGTGTCCCTTTGGTTGTTTTTGCATCCACATTTGACAATAGTATCTTTTTTTATTCCCTTCATGTAGATGTGTAATCAAGGCTGGCTGTTTGTTAGTTTTATTTTTTTCTCAATATGATGATTAAAAAATGCCTGCTTTCAGTAGCAAGGCTGTTTTTCAGCAAGTCCGTATACACAAATTACAAAAAATAGCATCTATAACAAGTAAAAAAATATTTACAAAGAGTAAATAAAAATGCAAAACAAATAAATACAAGTTATATACAAATCATTTTGAAATAGATTTAAGAGATAGTAGGGAAAAAAGAGGAAAATTACAAGCAGGATTCCCAAACATAAAGTATCATGATCAAATCTCGGTAACTTTTTTTAAAAACTCATTGGGAAGATAGCATTTGTGGAGTGCCAGGAGTGTAGTGTTTTTACAGAGACATTTTATTCAAATAATGTACATGTTTATTGAATGGAATCTGCGAGCATGACTGAGGACGAAGAGGAACAAATGGATGTTACTTTTTATTCCACATCCATTTGTTCCTCTTTTCACAGCTAATTTATTGCATAATGGTCTGACTGAGTGCACCCTTATGAAATTGAATGATACATGACATTAAAACTGTACCAATAACAATAATGGCTCTTCAATTGCTCCATAACCTCATAAAATTGAATGATATATGCCATTTAAAACTGTACCAACAACAATAATAGCTCTTAAAATGCTGCATGATTTATTTATTTTCCCCCCGGTGCTTTATTATTCATTAATCCTTTCTGGAAACTAAGAGCACCCTCATCAAATTGAATGATATATAATAATCATAATAATATTGGGTTCTTGTGTAGTGCTCATATCTGTCAGACTTGACACTCCTGGCGCTCCTGATTACATTATATATGCCATTAAAACTGTACCAATAACAATAATAGCTCTTCAATTGCTACATAACCTCATGAAATTGAATGATATCGTCCCTGTTTTCACGAAGTGACGGTAGTGAAGAAAATCGTCACGCAAAGTGAATGCAATTTTTTTTCACTACCGTCACTTCGTGAAAACAGCGACGATATATGCCATTTAATACTGTACCAACAACAATAAAAGCTCTTAAAATGCTGCATAATTTATTTATTTCCCCCCGGTGCTTAATTATTCATTAATCCTTCCTGGATACTAAGAGCATATCTGTCAGACTTACCAATAACAATAATAGCTATTCAGTTGCTACCAATTTGTTTTCTTCCCTCGATGCTTTTTCTCCCCTAGATGCTTTTTCTCCTCCCAAAATAATTTCATCCACACTATGAATAAATGAGTAAAACAATTATCCCACACCATAGGGGATCATATCATGAATGTGAGAGCCCTTTTATTGCATTTGTTATTGTGGGGATAGATGCATGCCATTTTTGTGTATACATTGTACTTTAGGTATAACACAGTGTGTACACTTTGTGATTGTAATATGTGAGTTTGTTTTCCAGAGAGGTCTTTTTGTAACACGTACTTATCTGGTCGACATTTTGTAATAAAAGTGAAATGTACATGCATGTACATACTGATGGATGGATGTCTTCTTTCTCTTGTTTAATCATTTGAGAGAGAGAGAGAGAGACAGAGACAGAGAGAGAGAGAGGCAGAGAGTGGGAGAATATGAAGATTAATTTATTGGAAGAATTAAAGAAATGAGAAGATAGTTATAAAAGAAAGGTGAAACAATGTGAGAAACAGTGAGTAGATGAGAGAGCCATAGAGAGGGGGAGGGCAAGAGACAGAGAAAGAGAGAGAGAGGGAAAAAAAGAATGTGTTTGCGTGTTTGTGAGAGAGGGAGAGAGAAAGAGGGAGATCTAGAACAGGAGAGTGATTGAGGGGAATAAAGAATGAAAATGAAAGAATAGGAAAATAAATCGTTGGAGAGAATTAGCCGGGAGACTATGATTACAATCATAACTGTCAATCCAAGAGTGATGTCATATTGTCCAAAATTGTGCTAAATAATTTTGGTGCGGTGATCACACCACTTCTGAACACTGAATTTCACCAGCTCCTGCCCGTTGCTTGATTGATTTTGCGGAAAACCTCATGCGCAGGCTCTTTTGTTTAACACCAATAATATGGACGACGAGCGAATATGACGTTAGCACTTCGTTACTCTATAGGCTTGCATGAATGCAACTTGCGGAGTACCTAGAAACCTACCTTCCCTAATTCATTCCTACCATAGGCGTCGATCCTAGAGGGACGGGGGACACGTCTCCCCACCCCATGAACTTTCAGGTGGTGAAATGTCCCCCCCCCCCCCCACGATTTGAAGTTAAAATCTGTCTTTTCTTACTTTCTTTCTCTCTTTCTGAAAGGTAGGGGAGATCAATTGCGATTTTTTCCAGCCCACAAAGTGTAAATGGAGGGGGAGGGGGGGGGGGGGGGGCTTGGGGGAAATAAAATGCAAACATGGTTTATTTCTAATTACATAACGGTGGTTTACAAATAATGCTAAAACGACCGAGAATTTTTCCTCAATATTAAGTAAATTATACTTTTTTGTGCGTTTGTTGGAAAATGACAAATTTACAGCCAGGCAAGAAATATGCTTCTTGGGATGCCTACATGTCAGGGGGGGGGGGGGGGGAATCGGGAGCCTCGTGCCCCCTCCCCCCCCCCCTTTTTTTTGGAAAAAGTATATTAAAGAGTAATAGAAAGAAAGGGAGCAAGAAAGAAAGAATAATTAACTGCCAGTGTCACAAATAATGAGGTATCAAAATATGCCCTTAGATGCTTATCTGACGGTAATTTATTGCCTTAAACCCCTGAGCTTCCGGGGGCGGACAAGGTATCAAAATATGTTCATCTGACCACAGGCGCGTAGCTAGGGGGGTGGGGCGGTCCTCCCCCCCCAAAAAAAAAAAAACCGGCCAAAAAAAAAGAAGCGAATCGTCTTCTTTCTCTAATAATTCAATGAAACGTCAAAGCTTCCGCGCTTTGCGCGGGAAGGGGGGGGGGAACTGGATTCAGACGAGGATTAAAAGTCGAGAACGGTACAGCGAATCGTTTACTTTCTCTAATGATTTAATGAAACAAAAGCTTCCGCGCTTCGCGTGTGATTGGGGGGGGGGGGAATAAATTGAGATAAGGATTCAGAGTCGAGAACGGTACAACGAATCGTCTTCTTTCTCTAATGATTTAATGAAACGTAAAATCTTCCGCACTTTGCGCGGGAGGGGTGAAACTGAATTCTGGGAAGATTAGGAGACGAGAACGGTACAACGAATCGTCTTCTTTCTCTAATAATTTAATAAAACGTCAAAGCTTCAGCGCTTCGCGGAGGAGGGAGGGGGAAACTCACCCCCCCCCCTATTACGTCACTGCTACGTACCAATATTTGGCTCGCATAATTTCAAATTTGGGCCCCCTCCCCTAAGAAATCCTGGATCCACGCCTGCCCTTATGCCACACCATACCCTGCAAACACCGCATTCTATGTCCTCCGACCCCCTCCCCCTAATCCTAACTAAACTTGTGTCCCCCCCCCCCCTTTTTCACCCCCCCCCCCCCCCCCCCCTTCAGCAAAAGTCCGGTGTGTAAAGTCAATACGGGTAGACCTTTTTCTTTTGTTACGAGCCGGAGAGTTTGGGAACACGCATGGTATCCCTGCGTTCACAGAGTGTGGGGGGGGGGGCGGGATCAAGGATTACCACAAAAGGGGCACAATCCCGAAACTTCTCTGACAAGCCATTGCTGTGCACTTAATGAAATGTTGCATGAACATTGGCTTAAAAAAGGAGCGCAGACCTGTATTGCCCCCCTCTCTGTTGCGCTAGTGATTCCATATCGGTATGTTCAAGAGATAGAGAGAGAGAGAGAGAGAGAGAGAGAGAGAGAGAGAGAGAGAGAGAGAGAGAGAGAGAGAGAGAGAGAGAGAGTGATCCCACTGCGCTCTATTAAATGGAATAGTGAGTGCTCGATCCGTGCAGCGAATGTGGACGCAGACAATCAACCTTGATAAGTAAGTGATACTTTTTTTCCCGCCAATTTACACAATCACCATCTTCAATTGCAGTTCACCTGTGCTCCGTACGCTTACATTTCATACAGTTCCTTCGGTCAGTTCTGGAAAGTCTCATCGGTTTAAACAAAAATGAATCGATTGGACCGGAGTAACAAGGTGGAGTCCATATCCGGAAAAGTGACCTGTGGAAACCATGTCCAACCCTTTGTCGACACGGACATTGACGTCCACAGTGTCGATGAGGAGGAGGAGGACGTGCAGGCACCCGAGAAGAAAGATTCAGGAGATGATTTGGACTCAACTTTACATGGGATCAAATATGTGTTCAATAAGAAATACAATGTTATCCGCAGGTTAGTTCGAAATCGATTTGAATTTGATCTTCACGAGTGAGTTTAATTAGTATTAGGTATTAGTATTGGTTAGTATTTAGCGCTTATCGTTAGAAACGGTGCTCTATAAATCCGACTATCACTCTTATCGTTATTGCTTCCAAGCAGGGGTGCCCCCAAACGAAAAAGTGGGGGAGGGGGATGGGCAAACTCATTTTGGCCCGCCCCCAAAAAAGCCTTCCCCCCCCCCCTCCGAAAAAATAATCCCAACATTCTGACCGCTTTGCCAATTTGTCTCACAGATTCCATGATATTCATGATTCATAACCTTCTTATTTGTTGTCCGACTTTTATTGAATTGTTTCTCTATTTTTTCTCCTATTAAAACCAATTAATATCAGGGTGGAATTCCCTTTAATGAGTATTTGGTTTGGAAGGTGCATGCATTAGAAATGTCTAAGACATTTGCTAAATATGTTGGTATCCTCTTTAAATCAAAACTTATATTGCCTAGCAATGTTTTTATATAATCTGTACAATAGCCTTGTTTTACCACATCTAAACCACTACAACTATTTTGGGGGAAATGCTTTTAAATCACATCTTTTAAAAAATTATATATTTTACAGAAAAAGTTTCTAAGAAATATAACAAAGTAACAAATGGCAATTTTAAGTATACCACTCATTAAACGGAGTCTCGACCACATCACGTTGTAACACGTCCCTAGTAGGATCGAAGTACGGCAATTCCGTTCATAGTACGGAAATTCCGTTCGTAGAACGTCCATCTCGGGGTTCGACCGGTCTGTAATCCAACCTGGTCTGAAGGTTGTGCATCACCAGAACAACGCTACCACCCGTTCCCCTTATCCACGTTTTTGGCCGCTGCGTGATTTTGTTTTCTTTCTTTTCAATAGAAATTTAGATTTCGCTTAATATGTCAGCTAATATAGAGACAATGTCCATTCAGGTTTATATGGTATAGAGGGAAGGCTACCGGGGTACCGGCAGCCAACGTATTTTTCCTTCGCGTATATTTTAACTTCCTTATTTTTCTGTGGGACTGCAAAGTCCTAGAACATGTTAAAGCTTATCAGTACTAGTTAATAGGAGGGATTAGACTACCCTGCAAGGTCACTGGACAGGTGGTTATCTCTTCAACTCAGCTCTCGATTAACATAAAAATAAACATTTAAAAATGCCAAGAAGCAAATCAGCTCTATATGCCCAAAGATTGTAAGTCATAATTTCAATGTGGACAAATTTGACTAGTTTCTTTAACAATTACTTCAATTTTTCAGATTATCTTGGGTGTGCGTCATGCTTGCGTCATACTCTGCTTTATTTTGGACGGGCAATACATTAAGAATGAAGTACACCGCATATATGACCAAAGAGGTATCTTTAACAAAACGAACATCTTCTATCGCCTTTCCCGCCGTCACCATCTGCAACTCAAACCTCATAAAGGCATCGCGTATCAACAATCCGATATCTAAAGCCATCGTTCAAGTCCTCGTTGACGGATCGCCTGAGCGCGAATGGGACACTTTCGAGTTCAACGCAATTGATCACGCTTTAGAAACGCAACTGGATGAGGTTTTCTGGGTCCACGCGCAGCAAGCGTCCGACATGATTTTAGAGTGCGCGTGGAAGAAGGGATCGAAGGCGTGTGGAGCAGCGAATTTCACCACGAAGATCACCAGCGCTGGGGTGTGTTACACATTCAACGATGGCGAGTTTGAGGGCGACGATGACGTCGAAGGCGACACGGGACTTGAAGTAACCCGGAGTGGAACGCGACAAAGCCTTTTGGTCCGTCTTAATGCCGAGGTTGATGAATACTTGTCAGCATTGTTCTCGGAAGGAATTGGATTTAAGGCAAGCTCTTTAAAAAAAAAAAAAGATTTACATAATAACCATGTGGAACTTTTAGCTTATTTAAGTTTACTACTCACGCACCCATTCAGTATATGTGTATGGATGTTATACGTACGGTATATCCATTTTCGCTTCAAACATTGAATACATTCAGTAATCACACTATTTAAACCAATAGAAGTTATATAATTAAATTCCTGATATACACTGTTGGTCATAATGGTGGAAAAATTATTTTTACCCCAATGTATGGAATGATTTTGACAAATATTTATTCTTAAATAGATCTAAATATATAATAATATACATTTTCAGATTTTATTGAATAATAATTTGCGAGTGTTTTTTTTTAACGTGACTGCTAAAGCATGTGTGTGCTACTATGCTAATTACCTAGAGAACCGACGTCCTGACATAACTGACAGTAGTGAGGATTAATGCCTCACAAAAGGGCACTAATATAGCACATCAACACGGTTTTAATCCTTGGGCCTCACAGTCAAGAGGCCATTGCTTAACCACTTAATCATGACTGTGTGCAGCGGGGGCTAGGGTACGGGGCCGCCCCCACAAATACAAAAAACGAAGAAAATGCAACAAATTATCAATAATTCATTGCATTTTGCCCCGATCCCCAACAGAAAAAAATTCTCTTTGTGGCCATACTTTGAACCATAATGCATGGCCCATGTCTATCAGCTATATTAGTGCGTAGGTCCCCTAGTTAATTAGCATAGTAGCACACACAATGCTTTAGCAGTCACGCAAAACAGACACTCGCAAATTATTATTCAATACAATCTGAGAATGTATATTATTATTTAGATCTATTAGGAATAAATCATTGTCAAAATCATTCCATAAATGGGGTAAAAATAATTATTCCACCATTATGACCAACAGTGTAGTAGGGCGGCAAGGCGTACTCAATTTTGATCATATAGAGATCATAATAATTTATAGCATACATCCCTCGAACCCTTTCTCTCTCTCTCTCTCTTTCACCCCCCCCCCCCCCACCCAAATAAAGTACCGCCATGATTTGTTTGTATCGCCTACATCCATGATAATTGATCTACTCACTATATCTGACTAATGACTTATTCATCATATTGCATGCATCAGTGTTTTTGTGTTTTTTGATCGTGGAGGTGAAACAAGTAGCTTAATTTCGATGAAACTAGAAAAATAAATCGGTCCATTTATAAAGCGCAGCTACTATATAAATATACATTTTACAGCGCTTAATACAAAGTATCATATTATATTATTATCTCGACTGTAGCTGAGCTGCCATAATCAGGCGCTAAAGTATTCAAGGAATTTCTTCCTACTGGATACTAATTTACTTCACCTTGGTGAAGAGAGTGACAAATGTAGACTAAATTCTTGCCAAAGGACAGTAGTGTCTCAATGGGACTCGAACCGCGAACCGTGCGATGCACAGTTCGGTGACGTATCCGCTACACCACGACAACTCTACAATAATAATAATAACCCTATTAAATCAATTTCATATATATTTTAATTTTCCTAAAGCTTCTTGTGCACCGTCGAGGCGACGTACCGCTCGTCTCTGATATCGGGGTCGCCATAATGCCAGGTGTTCGAACTCTTATTGCCATCAAAAAGCATACGGTAAGCACAATCACCCGATCGAGGAGTTGTGGAAACAAAACAAACAAACAAACCATAAAAAACTTGTACTTGATTGTCAGGGTAAACAAGGCATCAAGCTTCGCTTATCTTGGAGCCCTGGTCAGTTCCGTTTAAAAATAAGTTTATATATTATCTTCATATAATGTTTTAATGTATACTGATTTTATTAGGTATTCAGCACTGAATAAATAAATGAATTGAAATAAAATAATAAACCATTAACATTTCAATAACTCAATTAAGTGACTGAAACTTCTACATTGATGTGTATTCCCTTAACTATGAGATTGCTTTTCCAATCAGTAATAAAACGATTATTGATTAAAACATCCCAGTTGAACCAGTGTCCAGGAAAGATTCTGCATTTGTATACTTTGAACATATTTGTGGCTTACACCCAGTAAATAAGATCGATTGATCGATCTGTAATTGAAAAACAAGTCAGAAAAAATCTTGGAACCAGCGGGATTTGAACCTGCCATCTACTGCTTGCCGGGCAGCGACTCTACCACCAGGCCATCACTGGTCCATGGCACAGTCACGATGAACTAGAAACAAATACCCAATCTCTCCTGATTCATTCTGACTTATTAATATTCATTAGTCCGCCATAAGACAATAACTTTTTTTAAATAAATTTAATGCTTCCTGGGAGAAATTTCAATAGTTTGAACATACTTGTGGCTTACACCCAGTAAAAAAAAAAAGTTATTATCCTATGGCGGACTAATGAATATTAATAAGTCAGAATGAATCAGGAGAGCTTGGGTATTTGTGATACATTATGTAACCTTTTCCGTATTATAGTAAATATTCCCTCTCGCTCCCTCCTTCTCTCTCTCTCTCTCTCTCTCTCTCTTTGTCTCTATCTCTATCCCCATCCCTCCATCAAGGAGCTGAACATGCCTAATCCATACGACACCAATTGTCGAAACGCCTCCTTGGAGTATTACCCTTTTTACTCGGAGGGGGCGTGTCTGACGGAATGCGAAACCAAGCAACTCGCAGAAGCGTGTGGATGCAGATTCCCATACATGCCAGGTACGTGAGGGGCATATTGCTCCGGTTGTCTCATTTTTGCTCGTCAGCACAAACGTAGCTAGTTCGACGGCACTACCAAACTAGAATGTTCCACTATGTTGCAGGGTGTATGCCATTGGGTGAACCGGGTGTGCGGAAATGGTGTGTTGGGGAGGGGAAGTGAGAGTGTTCGTGTGTGTTGTAATTGTATGTGTGTCAACAATTAAAGACTAATACTGACAGATGGCTAATCATAAATCTACAATGACGAGTAAACTGTCGATCTACATCACAGTCCACAATGTGCCTTGAACGTATATAGCAGACGGCAATCGGCGGATTAGACGACACTTGGTAGTCATTTTGTATGTGAGATTGCTTAGCTAAATATAAAATACAAGAACATTTATTCTTTAAAGGTAAAGACCAGTATTGGAAACGCCCCAATTTCAAAAAATGAAACGGAAGCTCTTATTACCGATCATGAGAAAGAATATGTTTTGAATAATACATGATGATAACAATTTGCCGGGAAACCGCCTACTAATTGATATATTTGGTAAATTAGTTCATCCATTGTTATGTGAGAGATAAAAACGTACGTGCCATATACATCTTTCTGTGTACAGTGCTTGTAACTTTATGAAGACTGGGCCAAATTTCTTATCATTTTGATGATTCCAGAACCTTGCAGTATACAGCTATGCTAGATGATAAACCTTTTCTGAATGATTTCACAACGTTTCTTTCAAAATGCAATCCCATGACCATAACTGTTATTTATCTTTAAACTATCATTGATATCTGATAATTAAACAGTTATTGAAATTAACCTACCAAACTACATAATACAATGAAATACTTGACTTAAAGTAGGGAAGTTGGATGTGGTGCACAATTGCACCCCTCTGTAAATAATCAAATAGTCCATGGCGATCATGAATATTCATGTTTATGCTTACCTCGGCAAACATATAGCTCCGTTTAGTCTCATTTCACAACGCCCCCTATCGTCAGAGTCAGCAGCCATACATGTTAGCCTGTGGAATTGTCCACAAAAAAAAATCGTTAAAAATTCATTTTTTTTGTTTAAACGAAAAGCACATCCAACCTGACGTACATTATCACTAGCTCTTTCATTGGAACCCTCATTTCCCATTGACTTTTGAAAGTTCACCCACCGTAATTTGATCAAAATAGGTTTCAAGCTCGTCATTGCCTATAATACACATGTGAAACAAGTCGAACTTTGGACTCAGTTTGCCAAGCGATTTTAAGATTATAGGTCAAGCACACGAAGGATAAGAAGCATGAAGTATCAATGATCACTTCTGCTTGGTTTATTATGTCCATTTCATCCAACCCCTCACCGTCATCATTTTTCCATTTAGTAAAAGCAAACATTTAGCCGAGGTAAGCAAAAAAATGAATATTCATGACACACCATGGACTATTCGGAGGGGTGCAATCGGTCATCACGTCAAACTCCCCTAATTGCCACCAAGAATTTCATATCATTATATAGTTTGGTATGTTTCTTTTACTCACCCATGAGTTATTAAATATCAATGATGGTTTAAAGATTTGTAAAAGAAATTTTAGTTGATATTTATTAACAAAGAAATCTATATTTAGCAAAGCAATCTCACATACAAAATTACTATCAAGTGTCGTCTGCTACGCCGATTGTCGCCTGCTTCGTTTAAGGCACATATTTATCGTTTGGACTGTAAGGTATACCAGGCAGATTTGTATTTTCTTGCGGTACAACGTATAGCAGGAAAATGTTGTATATATGCGGATCCTTTTAATGATTACGTAATGGAAGTGGCGAGACGCCACAATTCCGCGAGGCGGTATCGTTTGAATAATTAAGGCAGGTGAAAGTTATTGTATTGAGAAGGAAAGGAATGTTCACACCCGACGGCGCGGTGGCCTGTACTTATAGCGAAGAAGAAGAAGAATGTATAATTCGCGCCATTGCGCGCGAGCACGTCACACCCAATGGCATACACCCGGTACCCTGCAACACAGTGGAACATTCTAAAAAATTGAAAATTTATCTACAAAATAGACCTCTTGAATCATCTGAGACGTAACTTACCCTATTCTGATGACTTCAATGAATGTCAAGATAACAATGGCTGCGTTCCCATCCAAAAATAAAACTAGTTTGCAATTAGAAATAGTCAATTTCTCGATAATTTCACAAAATATATTTGCCGCCGCATTCAATATGACGTCATTGACAGCTGATTGGCTAGTTTGGTAGTGACGTCGAAAGAACCATGTTTGTGCTGCAGTGATCCAGCGAGCGAAAATGAGACAATCGGAGCAATATGAATGCTTGCCTATACTAAATGGAAAAAAATACAGTGGAGGATTGGCTGAAATGGACATAATGAACCGATCAGTACTGATCTATGATAATTCATGTTTGTTATCCTTCATGTGCTTGACCTATAACCTTACAATCGCGTGGCAAATTGCGTCCAAAGTTCGACTTGTTTCACATGTGTTATATAGGCAATGGCGAGCTAGCGACCTATTTTTACCAAATTATGGGACACGAGGGTTCCAATGAAAGAGCTAGTGATAACGTACGTCGGGGTTGATGTGCTATTCGTTTTTGTTTTTGTTTTTTTTTTTTTTTTTTGGGGGGGGGGGGGGGGGTAAAAGTCCATAGGCTAACATGTTAGGCTGCTGGACTCTGACGATAAGGGGCGTTTTCCAATGAGACTATTCGGAGCCATAGCAGTTGCGTGATGAACGGGGGACACTCAACAGGATATTTTGGAATTAATAGAGGGGTAAGACAAGGTGACCCCCTATCTCCATATTTATTTGTAATAGTTATCGAATTACTAGCTCGTTATATTAGGAAAGATGAGAGCATTAAAGGGGTAGGATTCGGGAATAAAGAAATAAAGCAAGTTATGTATGCAGATAATATTACATTGTTTTTAAAAGATATGGATTCAATTAATAAAGTGAAGACAGTTTTCAAAAACTTTGAAAAATTAAGTGGATTGAAGATAAATAAGGATAAGACAAATGTTATGTGGTTAGGAGAGGAAAGTGATAGGCCGGGTTTACCTTTTTTTGGACATAGGGTACAACATATGAAGATCCTAGGGGTATATTTCGCACGTCATTCCAAAATAAAAGACGATTTGAACTATAAGGAAATTTTGAGCAAAATCAAAAGACTAATCGGTGTGTGGAAACAACGAGATTTAACGATGTTTGGCAAAATTAAATTGTTGAAGATATATGTATTTTCAAAACTAAATTATGTTTTGTCTCTTATGACAGTCCCACAAAACATTTTTGAAGAAATCGAAAAGATTTCTTTTAATTTTATTTGGGGAGGGAGAGACAGAATAAAACGGAAAATATTATATCAAGATTACTGCGCTGGGGGACTCAGAGTAACGAATTTTAAGATATTTATCAAGACTCAGAGAATAATGTGGATCAAACGGTTGCTCTATGGAGAAAAGTATTCAGGTTGGAAAGTAACCTTTGACCACGTTTTCAGATCACTGGGGGGTCGAATTTTATTTCTCTGTAATTATGAAATAAATAAAATGGACTTGAAGGGTATACCATCTTTTTATAAAGACATGTTGAAGGCATGGCAAGAATTAGATAAATGCAGACACTTTGGAGAAAATAAGAATAATCCGATTATACACTGTTGGTCATAATGGTGGAATAATTATTTTTACCCCAATTTATTGAATGATTTTGACAATGATTTATTCCTAATAGATCTAGATAATAGTATACATTTTCAGATTTTATTGAATGACAATTGATGAGTGTTTATTTTACGTGACTGCTAAAGCATGTGTGTGCTACTATGCTAATCAACTAGGGAACCTACGACCTTAAGTCATAATTGACAGTAATGGGGATTAATATATTGCACTAATATAGCACATCGACACGGTTTTGATCCTGGGGGCTCACAGTAACGAGGCGATTGCTTAGTCAATGAATCATGACTGTACGCAGTGGGCGCTAGGGTGCGTCGACGCCCCTACAAAAACCAAAAAACAGAGAAAATGCAATACATTTTCAATAATTCTTTGCATTTTGTCCCGATCCCTAACATTAACAAATCTTCTATGTGGGCATGCCTTGAACCATAATGCATAGCCCTACAGAGGAATTATTCCCGTTGGGGACTGGGGGGAAATGAAATTAATTATTTAAAATGTATTGCATTTTCTTTGTTGTTTTGTTTTTGTGGGGGCGTCGACGTACCCTAGCGCCTGCTGCGTACAGTCATGATTCATTGGCTAAGCAATGGCCTCGTTACAGTGAGCCCCCAGGATCAAAACCGTGTCGATGTGCTATATTAGCGCTCTTTTATGAGGCATTAATCCCCATTGCTGTCAGTTATGACTTAAGGACGTAGGTCCCCTAGTCGATTAGCATAGTAGCACACACATGCTTTAGCAGTCACGCAAAACAAACACTCCCCAATTCTCATCCAATAAAAACTGAGAATGTATACTATTATCTAGATCTATTAGGAATAAATCATTGTCAAAATCATTCAATAAATTGGGGTAAAAATAATTATTCCACCATTATGACCAACAGTGTATTTAGCAGTAAGTGTATATGTCTCAGCAATAAAACATTTTTTGATGTCGAACTATTTCAGAAAGGTATACTTCAAGCATCAGATATAATTGTCAGAGGTTATTTAAAACCGATCTTACATTTTTTAAATTTGGGTTTTGCAACTAAAAGCTTACTTAGAATTCAAAAGATCTTTTCAGCAATCAGAAACGAATGGATACAAAGTGATTTTATGGAAGTGGACACTGAAAATTTTGAAATAGAATTGATGATATTTGGACGTTTACAGAAACCTTGTGATATAAAATCTAGGCGGTTATATGATTACTTCATTGAAGACCTTCAAAAAGAGTATACATTACATGTTACAGATGGCAACTGTCAATTTGATCTTGGAATGACGGAGTTGAAAGAAACATTCACAAGGATGAAATGTGCAATGCTTTGTGATAAACATAGAGAGTTTCAATACAAACAATTACAAGGGGCTGTATATACGAAAAGAGAGCTCTTTAAATTTGGTTTTAAGTCAGACCATTTTTGTTCCTTTTGTAGACAAGAAGTAGAGACATAACAACATTTATTTTTAGATTGTCTTAAAGTTAAAAGATTATGGCAGGAGGTAATTCAAAAGTTACATTTAATCGAAATTGATATTGATGATTGGAAACCTATTTTTATGGGAATATCCGGCAATACTGCTATATGTTTGTAATAAGTTGAATCATATTTCTAGTAAAGTATATCATTTTTATTTCTAGAAAAGAAGGAACTCTGCCATCTGTACAGAAAGTAGTACATATGCTTAAAAATTACAGAGACGAGGAATACAAAATAGCCTTCAAAAAGGGGAAACTGGGGATGCACTTACAGTAATGGGAACAAAACGATGCATTTTTACTTTAATGGATGTGGGTATTATTATTATTAATTCTCTCTCTTGTACAGGTGGACAAACCGGAACAGGTTGCATGCAGTGTTTGTGTCGGCGTGAAGGGGGTATGAGGTGGGTGGGCTAGGGGGGGGGGGGGTGAAGAGTTTGTGTGGTGTGAGTTGAGGGTTTGTGAGTGTGTGATTGGGTCGGGCTAGGTAGAATTCATACCTTCCTCTATGGTTATTTAGATTATTAACTGTTACATGAAAGAACAAATGTATAAACATGTACGATCTGAGATTTGCTATGTTCATTGTAATGCATGAAGTGTTTTTGTATCGTACGTAGATCTTTGTATTACATTCTGTGATAATTCTTTTGTAATGTGAATTTTATGAGGAAGGAAATTTCCGGAACAGGTTGCATGCAGTGTGTGTTTATGTGTGCGAAAGGGGGTGTGGTGTGGGTGGGCTAGAGGGGAGGGGGTGTCATGAGTTTGTTGGTGTGAGAGTGTGTGACAGGATGGTAATATGTAACTTTAAACCTTCCTTTACTGTTATTTTGATTATACACTGTTACATGCAAGATTTTTTTTCCCCTTTTTTTCTCTATGTTCATTGATTGATGTAACTCATGAAGTGTCTTGTATCAAAGATTTTGTTTTATATTGCTTATTTTGATAATTTCTTGTTATGTGAATTTCTTGTTATGTAAAATTATGAGGAAGGAAATAAAATATCATTTAAAACAAAAACTATGCGGGATTAAGGGGGGAGGGGTGGCGGCACAGCCTCCAAGAGGGACCCCCCCCCCCCGGCTGGTCAGTCCCAGTCAAAAAACAATTCTTTGAATAAAATTGTTTTGATTAGCTTGTTGTTCGCAGCTTCTAACAAACGTTGTTTCTTTTGGTCATTCTTGTTTATATATATATTTTAAACAAAAACAATCATCATCAACAACAAAAATCATCTTAATCACTGTTAATAGTTTTCGGCATCAGTACTATCATGGAGCTAATCCAAATGGTACTATCATTAATCATGTTTAGCTTATCCTCATCATCATTATCATCTTCATCATTATTATTATTATCGTCAAGATCATCATCACCACATTCATCATATCAACATCATTATTATCTCTATTGTTATCATTATTAATAACACTTACATTTCTTTACTTTGTCATAACAGGTCCATCTCCTGTGTGCACTATTAGACAATTCATTGAGTATGGGCTCCCTAAATTCGAACTGGGTATGTCGATTCATGAACAAATAAACTACTGCTTTAGAACGACAAACTGTTCACCTTATTTTATGTTCATCGATTTTTAATGAAGTATTTGTTTTCATTCATGAAACTTCATTGACGGATATAAATATTTTGTAAAAGGCAAAAATTTAACAAGTAATGAGTAAGGAAATATTTTCATGAAGGAAAAAAATAGTTTATTAATATTTAAGTAAATATATGTTAGTCAGTGGTATCCTAAAATGTACATATATTCAAAATAGCTGACTCGAATATAGTTCCTGCCGTCATTTCTGCTGTAAGAAAGGATGTGAGATTTCATAAGAAAATGCTTCAACAGAATCTTTCAGCCTGGAAGATGTAATACTGTATTCAAAATCACATACAATATTTTGCTTTGTTTTGTTTAATTTTGTTGTATTTTTTTATGTTGGGTTTCATTTTTTCTTCACCTCTAAGGCTGCGACCTTGAATTTCACTGTCAGAGGGCATGTTATACAGAGCATTTCCAGATGACCATGAGCTATCTTAAAGCACCAGGAAAGGACGACTCCCAACGGCTGCAAAATCAGTTTAACTGGACTGGAGATGATGTTACGTAAGTTAAAAATGTGATCATTGCGGTCTAGCGTGAGCCTAGATTGGGGGTGGGGGGCACTGGTCTTATTCCATGAAAGAACATGATGAAATACAAAGGAGCAGATGACGGCATGTTAGCTCGTCTTATATTTATCTCCTTCCCTTTTACTCCCCAAACGTTCCTTCGGTGGCCCTTAACATACCACTGACTATATTCATACAAATCATTCATGTTAATTATTCAACAAAATGTTTAGCAGTCTAAAGAATAAATGAATACATACAAACTTTAAATACGACGAAATGCTCAAAAGGAAATGCGGATAACTATCTCATGTATTTATTGTGTGTTTATTCAGTCACATGTCTTTATAAAAACTGACAACATTTTGTGGTTTAAGAAGTGTGAGTTACTTGTTTGTAAGTGCGCAATAATTTAGAACCCGGTTTGTAAGGGGGGAAATGCTTAGTTTTTATGCCATTCGGCTAACGCATATAGTCAATATGACAGAGGTGTTCTCTCAGTTATTGCGTGTTCTTTCTGGAATCTGTACTATATGAAGGACACCCATACCGTCAAAAATAAATTGGATCATTACATTAAATTATTAATGAAATCTATAATATGATAACAATACGTTTAGGAAAGTTGCTCGAAAGACTCTTTTGGTCTGTATGAATATTTAAAATGCAATAAAATTGAATGCCATGGAAACCAATTAATGTCATTCTCTTTTTAGTAAGTGTACTGAAAACTCTCTTCGATATGCACATACGCAATATTCGCAGTATTAGAAAGTCGTTATCATGCAAGGTTGCAGCCTCTGTTATTCATTCGTATGTTATGTCTCGTATCGATTATGGAAATGCTTTATTGTTCAAGGCCTCCTCTTATCAACTTGCCAAACTGCAACGTGCTCAAAATTCTGCTGCTCGGGTCCTCAGTGGAACATCTCGCTTTTCCCACATTACCCCAGTTCTGAAAAGTTTACACTGGCTGCCAGTATCCACAAGAATAGAGTTCAAAATCTTACTCCACACATGGAAAGTAATGTATGGTCAAGCTCCACAGTACTTGCAAAATCTCATCAGAGAATATGTACCAGGTAGAAATCTCCGTTCTTCTGGTACTAAACAGTTAGCAGTCCAAAGAACTATGTCTAATCTGGGAGAAAAGGCGTTTATTTCTTCAGCGCCATCTCCACTGAGGATCCGATCACTAGAATCCCTAGAAACATTTAAAAAGAATCTAAAGTCATATATGTTCGCATGTTATTTTAGTTAATTATATGTTAATTGTACATCTATGCATTTTTTTTCTCCCCCCTTCTCATTTCTCTATGTATCTCATTCTAATTCTATCCCTCTGCGCCTCAGAATAGTTTACTAGTTCGATGGCGTATAATAAATGCTGTATTATTATTATTATTATTATTATGGAGAGGATGGATTGTAAAGCCATATAGATCTTATATTATAAAAAGGACATCATATATGCTGTGGTAGGCGTTCATCTATTATCCTCTCTCGACTTTTCCTGAATTTCGTTAAGGTTTAATGTAAAAAACTCCTTTGCTGATTATTTTTACAATCAATAACATAAATGGAACTACGCCTGTGCCAAAAAAGGACATCATTTAGTCTACTTGCTATTGATTGTGACTTTGTGATGGAAAGTTGTGTTACCAATCAGAAGTATTTTTTATTATCCTTTTACTATAGGAACTTACGAAAAAAAAACATGTACTTGATCTTAGAAATACATTGAAAAAAAAGTAATTACAAAAATAAAAAATAAAAAAATTAACCCCCCCCCCCCCCCCCCCTTTTTGAAAAAAAATACCTAGTTTGATGTGTTTTTATAGATCAGACAAAATTTCATTAATCTTTCATAGGATGATAGCGTAAAAGGAAAATGAAAAATTCGCACGTATCACTGACTATTTAATTAACAAAATTACTTTACTCCAGAGTCGAGATAAATCGATGGCTTCCTGACCTAACATTTTCTATGTCAGCGTGTATGTCAACAACGAGAGGGAAAGAGAATTATTTTCATTATTGCAAGTCTCTGCGTTCCTATTTGTCATTATTCATTTTTATCAAAATATTATGTATGTATATCTTGTAACAAATCAATCACAATCACATTATTTACAGATAATTATAAGAATTATTACAGCGCAAAATATAAAACTAAGAAGAAAGGGGGCCACAATCAAAAAAGGGGAAAGAGAAAGAAGAAGAAAAGGCAGTATACAAATCTTCAAACCATGTAGGGTGGGTGTAAGGAATTGGAGACCGTAGGAAATTGGAGACCACCAAACTTGAACCCATCACTGTCTGTCCGTGTTGGCTCCAATATTGCTATAGCGCCATCTGTGGCTTTTAACAACAACTACTGCATATATCCAATTCATTTCGAAGACTACAATGCGTTCTTTCTCCGAGAAAATTGGCAAAATTGACCAAGATAAGCAATTTTGTTCGAAAAATTTTGCTCTTAAAAAGCAGTTTTAAAAGGAAGTTCATGAAGTGTGCCAACCATCACAGAAAACTTATGGCCATTGTGTGTTGTGACTGGGTGTTGCAATGCACATTATGAATGGTGTCTGATCAGAAATGTGTGTAAGCAATGGGGGACACCAGGTCCAAGATGGGGGCCTATTTCCCCCAGTTGTTCATTTCATGTTGAAAGGCACTATCATGAAACATATTTGGTTGTTCGTGTCACCATTCTAATTTGAATGCATTTCATTTTAAGAAGTGGTTTCTATGCTGTGAGATTGATCAATGTTATCGTCACTTTGCCAAAACATTATTCTGAAGTATTTAATCATAATTTAAAGCACCTTTATTAATGTAAACAAAAAAACTACAGAAATATTTTGGGCCACCATGTTTTAAAATCGTTTCAAAATTACAGTAAGTTCATTGGCTGCATGTATCTCTTTCAAAAAGTGTTTGAACTAACTATAACAATCCCATTTTCATTCAAATTGTATTCCAAGTGTCTTGATTTGTAACTGTCCCTTTATTATTACCTACACATATAGGTAATGAGAGACATTTGATGATGACGTCATTAATCATTGCTATCTTTTTAATCAGTGACATCATGACCACAATTTCGTTACCAAATAAAGAGAAGAAGTTACTGAAGAGAATACAAAACTTTCTGTATGTGTAACATTTTTCATGTTTATGTAAATTATGCAAATGTGCTTAAGGGTCTTCAATTCCCCACACCTACCCTATGCAAAAATAGTATAGAGATATCGACTGCTACGAGAGGGCTTGCTGTGTTTGTACGCTCAAGGGAAATTTGCCTCCGCTGCTATCACCCCGAGGCGCGCCTGGGTGAATTTCCCGAGATCCAGTATACAAATAGCCAGTCCTCGAGTTTTAACGCAGTCGATATCCCTTTTATATGCCGAATTCAAACAAAAATTTACCAAGAATTCTTACGTTATCCTTTTATCGAGTAAAAATTGGTTAAAACATCACGGAAAATCTAAGAATTTGTCTGTTTATCACCGTCGGAAAAATGACTGAAATTTTCGATCAGTTGGGAATCGCAGACAAAAAGCACTCTTTTGTGTCCGCGCCCGCTCAAAAAACATTTTAACACGTAAACCAATAGGTTTCGCAGCAAGATTTTATTATTTTCCCCGGTAATTGGAATTTTACTCTTGGACTATTAAATGGTTTTGGCATTTTTCGTTTTTTTTATTTCGACCAATCAGATGGCTGAATTTCTTAAGTGAGGTATATAAATGATCACTATTATTTTCTTTTGAATAGGAGAAACATCGCAGAGGTCGAGATTTACTTTGCCGATATGAACGAGCATCATACCGAAAGCGTGGCTGCCTACAGTTTTGCCGATTTGTGGGGTAAAATAGTGACATATTGAAGTTTAGATTATGTATATTCCCGGCGCTGAAGTTAAGTCAATGTAGTCTCAGCGTTTTGAAAGGGAAATAAAAACCTTTTTAACAATTTGAATTGTGTGAAAGCATAAAGATATTAGGAGAGACAGGTCGTAAAAGAATTGGATTAACGATTCAGAAGTTCTAAATATTTGTTTATTACTTGTTTCTTTGTTTGTTTTTATTTCTTTAACTGGAGAGGTTAAAGACAAAAACCCGGTGTCGTCACATGTGTGTGTGTGTGTGGGGGGGGGGTATAAGCTCTTCTTTGCTAATCATTCGTCTCCGCATTCTTCTCATTGAATGTACTACTTTTCCTTATTGGTTGGTATATTTCATATTTCTTCCTTCATAGGTTTCCTTCATTTTCCCTTTATCGTGTCGTGGTATATTTGTGGATACGTCGTCGGACTGTGGATCACATGGTTCGCAATTCGAGTCCCGCCGCGTCACTAATGTCATTTTGGGAAGACATTAATCTACGTGTGCCACTCTCCACCCAGGCGTTAACTCTTGTCGTGTCATAATGAATACAGCCCAGAGCCAGGGCTAATTCACATTGTGCCAAGCCTCAAATCCCTCTGTGCCAAGTTAATTTGGAGATAATCGGATTAACGCGATAGTACTATCAATAGCGCGAGCGTAACACTAGGCACAGTGCAATGGGCATGAAAAATAACTGCTATTACGAATGCGAGCATGCATGCACAAAGCAGATAAGCACTAGCCCGCTCGCATGATTGAAGCAACCAATCGATAGCGCGCTAGCGTGTACAAAGCACTCTAACGATTGTGTGCAAGCAGCCTTATGGCAGGATATGAGTTACATGGGTACCCAATATGATGCCAGCGTTAGTGTGGTTTGGTTGGATTGGCATGTGTGCGCTTGTAAAAATGGCGCCTTGCCGGAATAGGAATACTCCCCAGGGAGCAAAGCGTGTGTACTATCATGTGCGAATTTGAATCCAATGGCCTGTGTAATATAATTTCAATGTAAAGCGCTTAGAAACGTCGTACATATTGCACTGGTTGTCTCATTTTCGCTCGCTGGACGTATATTGCAGACGACAATCGGCGGATTAGACGACACTTGGTAGTGAATTTGTATGTGAGATTACTTTGCTAAATATAAAATACAAGAACATTTTCCATATCTTTAAACTATCAGTGATATCTGTTATTAAAATAAACTTACCAAACTAATAATACAATGAAATACTTGACTTAAAGTAGGGGAGTTTGATGTGGTGCACGTGGTGGTGCACAATTGCACCCCTCTGTAAATAATCGAATAGTCCATGGCGATCATGAATATTCATGTTTTTGCTTACCTCAGCAAAATGTTTGCTTATCTGCAGTGGAAAAATTACGGTGGGGGGTTGGATGAAATGGACATAATGAACCGATCAGAACTGATCTATTATAATTCATGCTTCTTATCCTTCGTGTGCTTGACCTAAAACCTTACCATCGCCTGGCAAACTGAGTCCAAAGTTCGACTTGTTTTACATGTGTTATATAGTCAATGGCGAGCTTGCAACCTATTTTGATAAAATTACGGTGGGTGAACTTTCATAAGTCAATGGGACATGAGGGTTCCAATGAAAGAGCTAGTGATAAGGTACTTTGGTGTGGATGTGCTTTTCGTTAAAAAAATTAAAAAAATGAATCTTTAACGATTTTTTTTTGGAGGGGTAAAATTCCATAGGCTAACATGTTAGGCTGCTGACTCTGAAGATAGGGGGCGTTGTCAAACGAGTCTAAACGGTGCTATATTTTTAGCGCAATACTAACGTGAATATTATTTATTGTTTCTTACCTTTCCCTAGGTGATCTTGGAGGACTCATCGGTGTCCATATGGGAGCTAGCCTCCTAACATTCTTCGAGGTCGTTGATTACACCTTCGTCCACAAGATTCTGCAAATTCGCTTCTTGTGGAGGAAAATCAAGTCATTTTGTAGCCGGGATAAAAAGAGACCAGCACTTGATCAGTAGCGTATCCAGCATAAACTTATGGTGGAGGCGGTGAATGCCCACCCCTTCGTTTGAAAGCGATAGGATCTAAATTTTCCTAAGCTAATTACGAACTTGTTTACCTATGCGCGGTTGCAATAAGTAGTAGGTAGGACTCTGAAGATGTTTTTCCTTTAAAGGGGAAGGGGGTGGCTTTGGGCGTTTGCAAGCCGCCCCCACCACTTGAATCGCCGACCATGCACGTTTTTCAATCTAGGTCCTGATGATCTTTCTTTGTTTTCACTAGCTCTAGTGTAAACACACAATGACATCTTTGCCGATGCCTAATACCTACGGTTAACATAATTCTACTACATAGGCCTAATTGAATTTGAATTTGAATTTATTAACAATAACACATCACAATAATGACAGTACATATGAACAATCATACAATGCAAAACATTATACTGATACATGTATACATAACATAAGAGTAATGTCGATTGAACAGTAATGGTTTAAAAACGATATTTAGACATACATCTGCATACTATTACGTAAATATGTGTATTACTATATTTAGGTGAAGTTGTTAATGTGAACTAGAAGTTAGCACAAGTGCTTGTCGAGCCTAGTTCCATTCTTTGGCAAGATTTTTTTCTGTTAATTTGTTTATACATATGAATGTTAAACTTGGTTGTTTTGTGTTTACATATATACAACAAAATAATACAGTATCATGTAACTTTTGTAAATACTAAAATGAAAAAAGAAAAAGAAAAAAGTTTAAGTGTTAAAGCATTATAATGAAAGAAGACAAATCATTGAACAAATAAAATCATCAATGTGTTCATAAAAATAAAAAGGATGTATTAATGAAAAAAATATCATACAGATGTGCGTACATGCACAAATCCTGTAAAAGCTTAAGGCAGCTATAATCGTTAACAAGCAAGTGTACACATATATAAAAGGAAGACAAGTAAAATAAAAGGAAAAACGAAGGGGGTGGGATTGAGCCCACGTCATTTACATAGAAGGTAGGTGGAAAGATGTCTCCGAAAAGATAACCTCGATGTTTTTAATCTAATTTCATCTGGGAGATCATTCCACAGCTTTGTTCCTACAAACGAAATACAAAATTGCCCTTGCGTTGTCTTACATTTTGGTTGATAGAGCAAGCCACTTTCTTTTCTCCTAGTTGCATATCTGTGCTGTATCATCTGACAATAATCCACTAAAGAGTGTGGTAAAACACCTTTTACCAAATCGTACATAAATGTTGATACAAGAAGTTCATGAAGTTGAAAAATATTTAAAATATTTAGACTTTGAAAAAGAGCTCTGGAATCTGTTCTAAGTGGACTGAATGAAATTGCTCTCAATTCCATTTTTTGACTTAAATATATATAATTTAGATTACTTTTGTAAGTGCTCCCCCATACTTCTACTCCATAAGAGAGGTGAGGCTGTATAAAAGCCTTATATAATAACACAAGTATATTCTTGGGAACAAAATTTCTCAGTTTAAACAGAATACCTACTTTCTTTCTTATGCATTTGTTTATTGTCTGAATATGTTCTTTCCATGAAAGGTGACAATCAATTTCAATTCCTACAAATGATGCAACGGATACCTCTTTAATATCTGATCTTGATATTCTCTACCTAAAAATACCTAATTATCGTAATATCATCAACATGATTTTTATGCAAGTCATGGTGGAGACCAAACAACAAAATTGATATTAGATTAATGGCAGTTAAGAGCCCATAAATGTTTGATTTATGATTAATAATTATTCAATTCAATTCAATTCAGTTTATTTCCATAAAAATCACATTACAAAAACACATACATTTGCAAAAGGTACTGTAAATTACATGTAAAATCTTTCACTAGAATATACATAAGTACATTACAATATTAAACAATAATGGAAAAAAAGGGTAAGTTATAAAAACCCAAATAAATTAGTTTGTCGAGATATCTCCCCCCAAATAATTAAACAAAATGTGATGAACATAATAAAGATTTGAAATTATATACATGAACTAATTTTCCCCTTCTTCACTATAAGGGTTTGTTTGCATTTGTTTGAAACTCACTGAGGGACGATACTCCCACCTTTTTTCGGCGGCTGTTGGTGTACCACCCCCTCACCCCACCACCACCACCCATGGTCTCCACATTAATAATTTTAAGTCTTGAAACGGCGCAAAGACGCACAGAAGAAATTAACTTACAACCTTTAAAGCCTGTCTGCACTAGTTTGGCCAGGAGGGATTAGACCTCCCAGCATGGTCACGGACAGTTGGTTGTCTCATCAACCCAGCTCTCAATTAACATAAGAAAAAGGGATCATGGGGGACCAACGGGTACCGTTTAGGTATTGTTTGTTAATTGAGGGCGCAAGTAGCTTCAAGTAGTGCAGTCCCGCATTAAGTGGGGATTTCCAGGCCTTACCTGAAAATGGAAATTCACGCCAGAAATATTTCAAAATATGCGCCAACGGGACTAGTAGGCCTGTACCTCCTGAGTACCTCCCTAATTACCACTGTTTCTGTTTTCGGTAACTTTCACCAGTTTGAATCAGTCTTCTATTAAAAATACTGGTGTTGAGTCAGTATATATATATAACTTTTTAATATTAAATTCTGTCATAGAATACATTGGTGACAAATCACATTCCATCTACAATTATAAAAAGTGAAACAAATTAACCATTGTTTTATTTATTTATTATTATTATAATTTGTATTTATTTATTCAAGTATTAAATTTATTTCACATCTCTTTAAAAACACATCAAAAGTTATACAAACAATCATTATAAATTAAAACAATATAAATATTTAAAAACATTCATTTACATGGTACTGTGAAAGAAGGGTTGTGGATGCGAGAGATCAACAAAGGCCATTGGCCTGTCAAGGTTGATCCCCTATATTACCACCCTTCAAGAGAAATACATTATACAAAATATAAAAATTAAAACAATCAAACAAACAGATAATATAACATAGCACAATCACATAAAAACACAACATAACTATTTACATAAATCACATAAAAGGCAATTACATCAAATAAAACTACACACAATTAAGAAGATAACATTTATATTTTTTCCTGAATGTAAAAACCGTGGATATTTCTTGTAATACGTTTGGCAACTCATTCCAAAGCTGTGGGCCTTTAAAACTTACTGTAGTTCTTGAAAAGTTAGAAATATAAAAAGGTACATACATTTTATTGGAATTTCTTGTTTTATACTTATTGATGTTGCTATTATATTCGAAATAGTCATGAAAGTTATTGGGCAATAGTTGTTTAGAATAAGAAAACATAAACGATGCTAGTTGTAATTTATTTATATAAAAAATGTTCAATATTTTTAACTTTTTAAATAATTGTTGGGTATGTGCTAAATAGTTTGATTATGTAATTGCTCGTATTGCACTTTTCTGCAGTAAAAACAATTTTTGTGATGAATAAAATGAGCAACTGCCCCGTACAATATTAGAATACATAAGATGTGATAGAATCATACAGTTATACAAATTTGTTAAAATCTTCAGTGGTAAAATGTGTTTTAAAATATTAAAGACTCCAATGGATTTAGATATTTTTATAGCAATGTAATTAACATGTTCTTTCCAGTTCAAGTTTTTGTCAATGATTACTCCAAGAAATTTAGTACTGGTTTCTCTCTTTATACTTAGATCATTAAGTTCAATATTTATTACATTATCTTGTATTCTACAATTTCTACTCTTAAAGATCATATAACATGTTTTATCTCGATTAATGTAGAGTTTATTGGCTGTAAACCAAGTTTGTATGTTTTTCATTTCTGAATTCAATAGATTATTTAATGCAACTGGATCTTTACCTGATAAAAATAAACTTGTGTCATCTGCAAATAAAATTACTGATAAAATATTGCTAACATATTGCAGATCATTAATATAAAGTAAAAATAAAAGGGGGCCGAGATTAGACCCCTGAGGTACACCTACTGAAATACTTTTATACTCTGAATTAAAATTATCAACGCTTACATATTGCTTCCTATTGCACAAATAACTTTCAAACCACTGTATTGCATTTCCCCTTATTCCATAATATTTCAGTTTTTTTAGTAAAATTGAATGGTCAATACAGTCAAACGCTTTTGACAAGCCTAAAAAGAGAGCTATCACTATGTGTTTCTTTTCAAAGGATTTGGCAATTTTATCTGTTAATTCAATCAATGCATGGGTAGTACTGTATCCTTTTCTAAAACCAAATTGTTTATTGTGCAAAATATTGTGTTTTTTAATAAAAGATATTAATTTATCATAAACAATTTTTTCTAAAATTTTACTAAAAATTGATAAAATAGAGATTGGTCTATAATTATTAAACATATTTTTACTGCCATTCTTATATATTGGTATAACTTTAGCTATTTTAATGCATTAGGAAATATTCCTTTTTCAAGAGAAGAATTAAATATATTGCACAAAGGAGACACAATTGCATTAATAGAAGATTTAACAATGTTAGCACTAATTTCATCGTAACCAGGACATTTACTTACATCAAAACTCGATATAATATTAATTATAGTAGATTATGTAATTGGGCTAAAAAATAAAGACTCGCAAACAGATCCCTGTAAAAAGCTATTAAATGATGTAGTTACTGCACTATCCAACTTATCATGAATATTCTGTCCAACTGTACTAAAGTAATCATTGAATACATTTACAATTTGAGATTTATCCTTTATAGATCTACCTTCATATTCAATTCATTAATATCATGCTTACTTTTTCTTTTGTTCAAAACTTCATTTATAACATTCCATGTTTTCTTTGCATTGTTCATGACATCCTTAAACTTTATTATCATAACATTTACGTTTTGTATCACGTATCAAGTTATTAAATCTATTTCTAAGATTTAAATAAGTCGTTCTGCGATATGTCGTAGGATTTTTAAGATATTTTTTGTATAAAATACAAAAATGCTTTGTGCTGGAGGCGGTGCTGGAGGCGGTGGTGGAGGAGGAGTGACCGGGTACTTGTTGATGAGAGGTTTCCAGATGTCGTTGATGTATAGTCCTGAATCTTGGGGCACGGTGTTGTGGCGGTGAATTTCGATGGCTTCTCGGATTCGGCGTGTATGCCAGTGTTTCATTATGGAGATGAGATGACTGTTATCCCATTCGATGGTGTGTTCGTGTTGCTGGGCGTGTTTGACGATGGCGGACTTATCCCAATCGCTGAGTCTGAAGCTGGTTCTGTGCTCCTTGAGTCTTGTTTCCAGATTTCTCCCCGTTTCACCAATGTAGACTTTTCCACATTCGCATGGTATTTTGTAGACTCCAGCTTTCTTGTGGTTTGGATGCTTGTGTTTGTGGGAGTAGAGTATCGAATGGAGTTTGTTGGAGGAACTGTGTCGAACTTGGATGTCTGCGGCTTGAAGGATACGTTGAATCTTGTGAGAGGCTTGACCGATATAGGGAAGAACAATAGTTTGCTTCGGTGGTGTAGCTGCGGGTTGGTTCTCTTCAGGGGTGGAGTTAGCTACGGGCTTGTTGGCGGGAGTCTTGGATTGGATCTTATGTCTTGGGTATTCGTTGATGCTAGTTAGGGCTGTGGTGACATGCTGGATTTCCTGGTCTAGATGGTCTGCATCGCTGAGTTGATGGGCTCGGCGGATGAGGGCGTTGGGGACTGATTGTAGTACGGATGGATGGTGGAAGGATCTGTAGTGAAGATATCTATCGGTGTGTGTGGGTTTCCTGTAGACTTGATGAGCGGGCTTGCCGGATGGTGATTTGGTAACGAGAACGTCTAGGAAGGGGATGCTGTTGTTTTGCTCGGTCTCCATGGTGAATTTGATGCTCGGGTGATGCTGGTTGATGTGGGCGAGAAAGTGGTCTAAGTCAGGTTTGCTATGTGGCCAGATGACGAATGTGTCGTCGACATATCGGAGCCAGAGAGAAGGGCGTTGTGAAAGAGTCTGGAGTGCCGTTGTTTCGAAGTGCTCCATGAAGATATTGGCTATAACCGGTGAAAGAGGCGATCCCATGGCTGCGCCTTGAAGTCGCTGGTAGTATATAATTGTCTCGCCATTTGAAGGAAGTTGAGTTGAGACAGAGGTACATGAGGTCATGTATTTCATCCGGTGTCAGGGGGGTTCTGTCAGGGAGAGTGTCGTCAGCTTCGAGGCGTTCTTTGACGATTCAGCAGGATTCGGTGACAGGAACATTGGTGAAGAGAGATTCAACATCGAAACTGACCATGATGTCTGTATCGTGTATGGTGGTCTTGGAGAGGATATCGAAAGAAAGATTACCGAGTCAGAGTCCTTTTGCAGGACTCCTCAAACCTCTCTCTCTCTCACACACATGGTGCAACCGCAAACCTACTGTATAAGAACTATATAATTCTGTACTTTATTATATACCTCAATGGAAATACTCTCAACAGCATCAGTAAACACATCTAAATCTGGTCTTCTTTTAAATCTTATTTTGTCATGAATAAATACTCCTACGCCTCCCCCTCTCTTTCCTTGTTCTTTTTTTCTTTTTTTTTGTTGTTGGGGGGGGGGGGGTGAGGGGGGGGGGGGGGGGGTAGGGGGATATCAATATGTATGTATATGTACTATATTTAGGAAAATCAAGGTTGACGCATTCTCGATCGCCGACTGAGACGACGTGACGCATGCGCAGTGCCTTAAAATGACGTCACACGTTGCAGTCAAAGCTGTCGACGTGCAAATCTAAAATTCCCTATTGAAGGGGCATCTGACACAGTTAGGTTACAGAAAATATGCTTTCTAATATTGTTACTATGCTACTTTAAATTTTAGACCTCAAAAGGCACCAGAAGAATGGGAGAAAGGGAGAAAAGGAGAAAGACAGAGACAGACATAGAGAGAGAAAGAGAGATTTATGTATATTTCAGATGTGATGTTCGTAAATCTTTTAATATTTTTGTCTTTCACTTTTGCGAAAATCTGTTGGTATCCATAAACATGAAAATTAAACGTTCAGCACTTATAGTATCAAAACACGTGTGACATGTGACATTGTCTTTTGAAAGATGGTTGAAAGAAGATTGTAGGGGGACTTTCAGGTTAATTGCAATGATGTCTACAATGTTGAATACTTGGGCTGATTTTACAGATTCTACAGATGGTATTGATATTTCCCTAACGTTCTTCCTATCCTCTTCCTTCTCTCTCTCTCTCTCTCTCTCTCTCCCTCTTCTCCTTTCTCATTGTCTCCCTCTCTCTTCCTCTATCTTACTCTCTTTTCTTTCTATAATCTCTGGAGAATTTTTTTATTGTATGGTACTTGTACCATCTCAATACTTTAAATTTAAAAAAAAAAAATCAGCTGACATATTCCCCTCTTTTCACCATTGATCTTTTTAAACCCAGTCTTATGCATTTTAACTTTTTATTGGACTCTCGGTCTGTGCCTGATTTAGTTATTGCACAGCACGAGAGCCCTCTTTTGATGTTATTGTAATGATGTATACTTATTGTTGTTATTGTTTATATGTCCTTTTTGCAATATTTACTGATAATAGTTTAGTTATTTGATATTTTAACTTATGTAACTTATGTATTTATTCATTACTGCTATTTTATTATGTATATTTGATTTAAATTTTATTTTGCGCCCAAGACAGTTGTCAGTCTTTGGACTGTTTGCTCTTAGTTTTTGATGTTTTGATTTCAATAAAATCCTATATATTACATATTACTATATATTAGACTTCCTTCTGATACGGGAGAGAGAGAGGGGGAGATTGAGAGAGATAGAGAGAGAGAGAGAGAGAGAGAGAGAGAGAGGGGGGATGAGGAGGGGGAGGAGGAGTTGAGAGATCCGATCGAGATTAGGAAAAAGGAGGAATAGGAGATTGACAAGGGCTCCCGAGGACCATAGAGGGCGATTAAAAAATGTCTTTGTATGCATGGAGAAGTTTTACATCATAGGCTTATACATTATTTGTTGTGCGAGCGTTGCTAATCGAGCTGGGGATTTTTTTTTAATAATTAAATTGGATACTTAATGCATTAGGCCAACTTAACAAAGATTCTTTTCACTTTTACGAGGCACTGAATATTTTACTCTTCAGATTTTTTTTATTTTTCTTTTGGCGGGGGGGGGGGGGGGGGGGGGGGAGGGGAGCACCTTTGGGTTCAAGAAATGAGTAGAAGAGCATGTACCCCAAGTTCAAATCCCCTTAGTTTTCAGACCCATATTAATTTCGAGATATACCTGGCTACCTGGCTGCCACCGTCAGTTGCTGACGATTGGCGACCACATATGCACATTTGCTTTCTTGTTGTCTTTCTCCATTTGTTTCTATCCTGTGCTAATCTTTTGGCTTCTGAATATGTGTGACCTGTCCATCCTTTGATATTATCAAACCACTACTTTCTCTGTCAGCCTCTTTTCTTTTCCCGTCTACTTGGCTTTCTAATATTTGCGCTGCTAAGGGGCTCCCACTGCCACGCACAATGTGTCCAAAGTAACCCATCTTGAAGCGGGCCACTTTTCCAAGGAGACCTCTTTCATTGTTTAGATCTTGTAGAACACTGAGGTTGATTTTCCAGCTGATTTTGAGCATTTTCCTTCAGAACCAAATTTCTGCTGCATTGTCCAGCTTCACCACCATAAAGCATAGCACTCCAAACCTTGGCAGTGTTTTGACCAGTTTCATTTTCAGACCAGATGAGATGTTCCTGTCATTCCAAAGTACATGCAGGTCAACCATTCTCTTCTTTGCTATTGCTATTCTGATCTTTATTTCACTGGTACAGCTGGCATCGCTGTTCTTTGTAGATCCCAGATATTTGAAGCTTTCCACATCTTTGACTGTTTCCCCGTCGATCTGGATGAAATATTCGGCATCTGAGATTTTACCAGCAACTAGGAGTTTGGTCTTTTAATATTTAAATGCAAGTTGAGTTTCTTGTCGGCATCGTTTACAGCACGTGTGTGACTGTCAATTCCATCTTTGGAAGATTCGATAATTGCTGTGTAGTCAGCATATCTGAGATTTGAGATGTTTTTGCCACCAAATTTAATGCCATAGTGCGCAACATCTGCTTCCCTCATCCCACTTTCTGTGTATGTCACAAAGAGGTATAGTAATATGATACAGCCCTGTCTTGCACAAACTCTTCAATGTGTTCACCATCCCAACAGATTCTAGCTCTTTGCTTTACATAGAGAGATTTGAGTAATGTGACGAGGTGTTTGGAAGCCCCTATCTAAGAAGAGGCAGAAAAGTTTGTTGTGGCTCACAGAATCAAACGCCTTAGAATAGTCTATGAACATCAAAAAAGCATGTTGATCCATGGTAATCACCTTCTCAAGTAAAACTTGCGAACATAAACATATCTCTGGTCCCTCTGCCTTTTCTTTAGGCAGCCTGGTCTTCTGGTTGCTCTTGCTCTAACTTTTGTTTTATTCTGTTAACAATTTTATCACATGTAAGATTTTGCTGGTGTGACTAATAAGGGCAATAGTCCTGTAGATTGAGCACAGTTTTTGATCCCAAGATTTAAACAGAACAACATATTTCTGTATCTTCCATTCATCTGGCCAATGCAAGAAGTCCAAATGCTCGCACACAATTTGTGGAGAAATTTGATACCACATATTATAATCATACCATATTCTATCATGTATTTAAACGTTTGGAATGCTGAAATTTTGTCAATTTATTATTTTATTGAAGCCTAACACATTGGACAAAGCTTTCATAGCATCTGATTTTTAATAAGAATAATATAAGAATTTTTTTAATATTATAAACCATCAAATGAAAATATCCTGGGGTCCCCATCTCATAAACAAAATTGAGCACCGGTCATGAAATGAAATACCCACAATTATATTTTACAAGTAATCCTATGGTATAATCTACACAAATATGAAGTATATTGCATCTCTTATTCCCTTTTACTAGTTTCAATCTGTTTGATTCCGAATTCATTTAAATAATTGCAGTTTTCCTAAAACTATTTTTTCTTTAAATCCGGTGGAATTGCGACTAAGGTTATGTCTTGGCTCTTCTTCTCGCCGATAGTATCGATTTCACGAGATGTCTAGCTATAGTAAGCTCTTCGTGAAACGGTTAAGGAAGACCATGCAGAGACATTTCGGTAGTTGGCGAATAAAGTTATAACTGTCTTGTCGGTTGGTTTCGAGAAACGGGCCCCAGGTGCCTGCTTGGTAAAGATCTCTGACTTGTTCGCTCCATTTTTACTTTTCTAACGGGTCGACGGGCGTGTGGTCATCTACGATGAAGAAATTCTTGACCGCTTCAGAGCCTCTCATTTTTTGCGCGTTATGTTTACGGCTATTTGTATTTGTGGTTTGGCACAATTGGGATTAGCCCTGTGGCGCTGGGCTGTATTCATTATGGCAGGATAAGAGCTAATCAGGACATCCTCGACCTTTATTCCCATCTCTATGGACGCGCCCTAGATCTAGTTTCTATGTCGAAATGGGTGCGAATGATGCTTTCAGCTATCTGGATGCAGTCATCATAATGACCTTGCGGAGGCTCAGGGATCCCTACCAGGCGAATGTTATTTCGCCTGGAAAAACGCTCATTTTTATTTGCATCACTTTCATACTTATCAATCTGAACTTTGAAGGTGGATATTTCCTGTTTCATTTCACCGATTTGCTCTTCCATTTTCTCTTGATTCTTTTCCAGGTGATCATGCACAAACTCCAACGAGGCTCCAACATCGGCTTCAAGATCCTTCAATTTAGCTATGAAATTATTCACCGCGCTTGTAATCATTTTTTTTTTACAGATACGTCTTTGAAGAAGTTATCTGAAATAGGTAGGCCTGGTTATCGACGACATTGATCTGGTCCAACCCTAAGATTGACTTTAATATTATGGCGAGCCATATGTTGCCTTATAATGACATATATTCAAAAGCAAAAATTAAAGTATTTTAGACTTTTCATAAATTCCATATCAAGAACATGAAATCTCCCATGACATTTAAAAAAAATATGAATGATTTGAGTCAACATTTTATGC